ATGATGGTTTGCCACCGCTGACATGGTAAAAGACAGCTGTGTGTGTCCTTTTCTGATGAGACATGAACCCCAGACACGGCACTGATGGCAAGAGAACAGTTCACCCAGGTCCGTTGGAGGCTACGCAAAAGAGTGCGTGTGAATGGTCACTTACAGACATGGGTGACTCAGGCAGCCATAACACTAGTGCTCCCACCCCAGCCTGAGGGACAGCTCATGAAAGGTGCATCCTTCTAGAGAGTCTCCTAACTTCTGCCTGTAGAAGCCTGGGGGAGACGAGCTGATGAGTCTTGTGACCTTCGGGGCTTCCTGAGACTTAGGAGATTTATTATCGAACCTTGTAAACCTCCTGTACGTACAGAGTCTCAGTGAGCCTCCCTCCTCCGTGTTTCAATTAGTAGGGAAAAGTTACATAGCCACTATCAAAGAGTGGACTTGAGGGGGCTGGCAAGATGGCTCAGCGGTTAAGAGGTCTTCCAGAGGTCCTGAGTTCATTGTTCAACATTGGTCCATCTGTAATGGGATTTGATGCCCTCTTCTGGTGTGTCTGAAGTCAGCAACAATGTACAGTGTATTCACGTATATAAAACTCTTTAAATAAACAGGGGTTCTCATGTACAAAATAGTCAAATCTCCCAGCCTAGCTCTGTCTTATCTACAGGCATCCCAAACCCAGCTCTGGCTTCCCCTATATGATTCTACTGGACAACTTTCTGGCACCCCTAGGCCTAACCTAACTTAACTTCACCCCCACTGATCAGACTGACCAGCCCTTGACAGGAGCTGCAAAGCTGGGAGCCCTCTCCATCTACACACAACTGTGTGTGTGTGTGTGTGTGTGTGTGTGTGTGTGTGTGTGTGGTGTGTGTGTGTGTGTGTGTACAGAGCCTGGGGTCAGTGGGAAGCTGGCAGTCCTGTCCCTCATTTCTGGGGTTCCTTCTACAGGAGCCCAGGCCCAACAGAAGGGCCCCAGTTGTGATCCTAGCTAGAGGCAGCTTCAGGAAGGCACTTAGCAGCAGCAGAGTCTAAGAACCCTGGGTGCAATCGGATCTGCAAAGCAGTAACCCCATGAAAAGGTCTGGGCAGATCTCTGACCCACCTAGGACAGGGAGGGACACTGTTCCTTTTGCTTTAGTAAAAGACATGCCATGCAGCCAAGCACATCTTCCAAAGATAGGGTAGGGAACTTCAAAAGCCAACTGATCGTGTCTTCTAAGAGAGCCAGCCTACCCAGAGCATCTGTTGTCCTCACCATCCCCAAGGGTGTGACCTATAGTCTTGCTGGCAGCTCAGATTAATAGCCCACTTCTCACAGAGAACATAAAGACTGCCCGTTGCCTGTTCCTCTAGTTGTTCGCCTGGGTCGCCTGGGTCGCCTGGGTCTGGCTTCTGACAAGCCCTTTCTCCTGTCCAGCCATAGACAAAAAGGAGCTGGGCCCCTTCTGAACATTCTCATAGAACTGGCCTTTGAATTGACCGATTCTCTTACTGTTTTGATTTTTCTATTTCACTGATTTCTTCCCTTCTTTGCTTTTAGTATGTATGTAAGTGCACGTGTGTTTCACTTGCTTTTGTGTATGTGTGTGTGTGTGTGTGTGTGTGTGCATGTAGATCAGAGGCTGATGCTAAGTATCTTTGCCTATCCCTCTCTACCATATATGTTTTTGACTCAAGGTGGTTCACTGAAAAGTGGAGCCGGAATATTTGGCTGGACTGGCTGGCTGGGGAGTCCCAGTCTGCGCTTCCCAGCACTGTGATTTCAGGCAGACACCACGTAGCCCAGATTTTATGTATTTTCTGAGCATCAGAACCTGCTTTGTTTTCCCAAGTACAGAAGTTCTGGTGTCTCTCCAAACATTGTTTCAGAATAGCATTTCTCCAGATGGTACCTTCTGTTCTAAAAGTGTGTGGACAGTCAGTATCCACAGCAGTCAGCCCGGCTTTTCCATGGTGCTGGGGATCTGAACCCGGATCTTCAGACTTGTCAAGCGAGCACTTTGCTCACTGAGCTGTCTCTCCAGCTCTGCTCGTGTGGTTTGCCTCCGTTGGGTTTGATTTGCACTGATTCTAGTTTCTCATTGGGGGCCGTTCTTTCTCCTGCAACATCCTTGGCATCTCCTACAAGAGCGCTTCTGTGGCATCTCACTGTGACTGCACCAGAGGCTGTGATGGGCCTGTGTCTCCCTCATCTGCCAGGATATTTTCTGACCTCCTGATTGATGTTACCCTTGCCCCGTGGGTTATTTAGAAATGTGTTGTTACACAGCTCGTGCGCATTTGTAAAAATTTTGTTCTGATAATTTTCAAACCTTTGTCATTGATACTATTATTTTTATTATTTGGGTGACAGGGTAGGCACACACATACCACGGCAGAGGAATCAGAGGACAACTTTCAGGAGTTGGTTCTTTCTTCTGCTGTTGGTTCCAGGGATCAAACTCAGTTGTCAGGCTTGCATAGCAGGGAGTTCTATCCACTGAACCTTCTGTCTAACCCTACAGCTACAGATTTTTAATCAAAGTCGTTTGCCGTTCAAGGAAAGGACCGTTTGATTTTGATCCTTACCATTGCTTGTATTGAAAGTTATTTGATAGTTCAGAAGATAGCCTGTCTGAGTTACTTTTCTATTGGTGAGACAAAACACCATGACCAAGGCAACTTATAAAAGAAAGCATTTAATTTTGGCTTACAGCTTCGAAAGAGTAGAGCCCATGAATAGAGGATCGAAGGCATGGCGGCAGGAAGAGCTGAGAGCCCAGCCTTGATCCCCACACAGGAGGCAGAGAGAGCTATCTGGGGATGGTGTGAGTCTTTTGAAACTTCATCCACCTGCATATCTCCTCCCAAAAAAAACACATCTTTTAGTCCCTCCCCCACAACTGGGACCAAATATTCAAACATATGAGTCTATGGGGGTCATTCTTATACACACTGCCACATGGTCTTTGTGGATGGTTTGGAGGAGCAGGTATGTTTTCTCAGGAACTAGAGTATATTGGTTGTTTCTCTCAGTTGTTTTTATTTTTGTTTGGTTTTTTGAGACAGGGTTCCTCTGCGTAACTAGCTTGACTGCCCTGGAACTTCCTTTGTAAACCAGACTGGCCTTGAACTCACAGAAATCTACCTACCTCTGCCTCCCAGGCCTACTCCCCTAGGGTATTTGTCTTAGTTCTAAGGCCCCTTGTGTGTACATATGCACCTGCTGGGAGACTGCCCTGTGCACCCTTTGCTGTTGCTGCAGGTTTTATTTTCTTCTTCATACAATGGGGGTGGGGGGGTGGGGGAGGAGTAGAATTTGTGAAGAACCATTAAATTTTGACTGCTTTTGAAGCACAAAAAATAAAATGACTTTTAGCTACAGAGAGTAATTATTTAGTGGTACACTTTTGATACTAAGAATTGTCTGTGAGCCATGGGTTCCTCTAAGGCTTGCTTGCAAGCGTTGCTATGGATCCCACATAAGGACAGAGGTGTAGTGAGGTCCTTGTCCAGCTGGTACATCTTCCCAGAGTCAGCATGCCCACCCAGTGCAGTTTGGTCTGTGGGAGCAGGGCAGCAGGGGTGAGGAGAGCTTCGACAAAACCTGAGGAGAACGCCCAGGAGGTCTACACTCTCCTCTGGATCGCTTCTGTGGATCTGCACATGAGTAGGTGCAATTTGAAGCCCAACGATGCCCAGGCTTTGCTCACTAGAGCCATTACCAGAAAGAGCTTACCCTGGAGATTGAGCTAACAGAAGGCAGGCTGGGGGCGGGGTTTGAGCGGTCTCAGGGGCGGAGCGTGTGTCCTGAGGGCGGGGTGGGGCGGGGCCTGTAGCGAGCAGGCACTGCGGATCTGTTGCCGCAGCGGAGCCTACTTGGCCTGCCTGCGATGCGGTACAAACACCGCCCGAAGTGTGTACCGATTCCCAGTCAGACAGCGGGAGGGACCTGGGAGCGGCCACGGGTGAGTTTCCATAACGATAGGGATTACGGTGGTAAAGGGCAAGGGCGAGGTCACTCCGCACCCAGCCCGCCCTGGGAGTCCTCCCTAAGCAAGACTGCAGTCTTTCGGGCGGAGCTCGAAAAGGAGAAGGGGCAGGCTCACCCGAGCCGCAGGCCTGCCTGGCCTAATTCAGGACCTCAGCATCCTGGGCTGGTACCTGGGAAACAGGTCATGAAGGATGTGTTGTCTTCCGGGAGGGTATTTTGGTACCCCCACAGCAGGGGACGGCTCGAGTCTATAGACAGGGAGGAGAATATTAGTTCACATCCCCCTCCAACAGTCCCACACACCAGACCCAGCCTATGGAGCTCTGTCTTGGGCAAGCATCATCTGGCGAGCATCCGAAGAGCCTTTAGGTAGGAGCTGTGCACTCATCATGGCCCCTTCCATGGCAAAGGACTCACAGCAGTCTACACTTTTCTTCGCGCTGGGGAGGGGGGCAGGGGAGCAACTTCAAGCAGCGAGAGCAGACGTGAGAGGGACCCCTGCCCCATGAAGAGACCAAACCTGGGTTCCAGTCTCATTTTGGCGAGCCTCCCTGCACTCTGGGCTTTGCCCGGAAGAGACTGCGTGCCAAGTCTCCATAAGGCCCCTGCAAAAAAGATACCCTGGGTGAAGTTCTCTTTGTGTTTGGCATTCAAGGACTCTAGGGCCTCCCGATTTTCACTGATGTTATCTGTTCCTCCCCTTCTTTAGCTCCCTCCACCCTGGAGCTCCCTCCACCCTGGCTTTTTGCTTCCTTTTGGTCTTCTGTTGGAATACTCCATATCCCACTCCCTCCTCCCATCTCCAGGTAACTGGAAATCAGTGACGCCCACTGAGCTGGGAAGCTCTTGTGCCTGCCCCAGCCTAGCTGTCATCACAAGTCTCTGTCATGTCTGTGCAGGGTTGCTTTATCACTAGGAGACCAAGAGCTCAAGCAGGACCTCTGTGCCCTGCTTCTTTCCTGACCTGAGCTGGATCCAGGACCAGCTGCTGTCCTTCTGTTCACTCCGACACTGTCATCACATCTCCATCATGATCCGCCTGTTCACAGTGTTCCTGGTGGCTCTGATGGGCCTGCCTGTGGGTAAGGTGGACAGAGGCTAGAGGGACCCAGTTGAAGCCTGACCCTGAGACAGGCAGGTGAAGAGAGGGCAGGCTGGCCAGAATTCTCTTGACCTGGGGATGTCCTGATCTGGTGCCTGGTGGGGAAGGAGGTTGCCTGGAGACAGCTGGGGTCTGACTGGCAGGAAAATGATTTCTTCCTGCTCTCTGCCCCCATCCTGGTCCACAGCCCAGGCTCTGGAGTGCCACGTGTGTGCCTACAATGGAGACAACTGCTTCAAACCCATGCGCTGCCCAGCCATGGCCACCTACTGTATGACCACACGAACTTGTGAGTCTGGCACCCTGGAGGGAGGCTTCCACCTGCCCTGGTGGACAAGCTAAGATTGAACCATCCAAGGTCCTGATCCTCTCACTGTAACCTTCTTGTGTCTGTCCCCTGCAGACTTCACCCCGTACCGGATGAAGGTGAGGAAGTCCTGTGTTCCCAGCTGCTTTGAGACTGTGTATGATGGCTACTCCAAGCATGCATCTGCCACCTCCTGTTGCCAGTACTACCTCTGCAACGGTGCTGGCTTTGCTACCCCAGTGACCTTGGCCCTGGTCCCCGTACTTCTAGCTACCTTCTGGAGCTTGCTGTAAAGCTCTGTTTCCCAAGCCAGATCCATGCAAACACAACACTCTTTAAAAACACAGTTGCCCCTCTTCCCCATTCACTCCACTCAACCTTCTTCCCTTTGAGACTCCTCGGCTACAACGAGGTCCCATGTCTATCCATGAAAGGACTAATGGCCTCCAGATACCTCACTCCTAGGTCATTTCAGAAGGCTGATGTACGGACCTATAATGTGTACCCAGCTATGGGTGGGGCAGGCTGGGCTCCTCCTCTACCCAGGGTCAGGAGCATCTAGGAGAGTGTTGTTTATGGGGGAAGGACTGTCACTCAAGTCAAGGAAAACTGATTTGATAGAATTAGTAGCCAAACTCCACCTTCATAGCATCAGGACCCTGCCTCAGTCTACCCAGTAGACAATAGGTCGGCTGGCGGAGGGGAGAAGTGAGCTGGCTAGAAGCAGAGACTCAGCAGAGCTGTCTTCTAAGTCTTAGCAACTTCCCAGAGCAAATGTGATGTGGAAGCCCTGTGAGGAACTTATCTGAGGAACTCTGCCAGACCTGCTGTCAGAATAGCCATTGGCCAAGGGTTGCTAGCCATGGCTTCAGTTCCATAGGCTACTGTGATCCCCTCCAGCCCCAGCTCAGCAGGCCCCTTGACCTCTACTACAGTCCCTCATTCACACACCAGCTGCTGGGCCTTGAGTCTGGCAGCGACACAGGGGCAGGTGACCCATGCTATATTTTTTCTGGCCTGTACACTGGCCAGAGCTATTCTGGGCAGGAAGGGATCAGAGGCAGGTCAGAGCAGGTTAGTAGGGTGACTGAGACAGGGAAGCACATTTCAGTCAGCTTCCCAGGTCCCATAGGCAGCTTCTACGTCCATCAGTCTCTTGGTAAATTATCGGAAGACGAAATGTACAAGGATCCAGCCCAAGTCCTGGGTGACTGCCTGTAAAGTCTGTTGTGGCTGAAGACTGCTGGGTATCAAGTCTCAGGAGAACCCAGCCCAGATTTAGGAGACATGGATCTACCTTCCATGCAGTGTGGTTGTCTCTGGGAGCCTTACCCTGCTCTCTCACTAGTACCCCAACTCATGTGCCACTGAGGAACCCCCCTGAAGCTGGCCCAGCCCAGGGGTCAGGATGCTGGGTAGTGTCCATGTAGTGGCAATCGCCCATGGGTCACCACATCCTGCTGATCACCACATCTCTACTGTTTTATTCAGACCTCTCAGTGGTGGACACTCAGGACACAAAGGTCCATCCTGAGGACCTTTCTCTCGGTTCTAGGCAGACATGAGCTCTGTCTGCCACTAGAGCTGATGTGGTTTTCTGCCTCAGTTTACTCCTCCCGGGATAGGCCACTGGAGGATTTGGGAGGGTGGGGAAGGTATCTTGCTGATGAGCTTGCCCGGATCCTCAGGAACAGGGACTGTGGGGCTATTACCCAGGTGAATTGGGTGGGAAATGGCCTGGAGCTGAGGAGCCATTGACTATCCAGAGGGAAGGTGAGTCTCCAGGGAGGCCAGGAAGGGGAGGGAGGAGCACATGTGCACAACAGAGCTCAAAAGGCAGCACTGGCTGTGGTGTTCCCTGAGGCCCAGGCAGGATTCTAGGAGGAAGCCAGTGCTGTCCCAACCTGAGCTTGCATGAAACATACACACACACACACACACACACACACACACACACACACACACACACACACACACCACCAGCAAGCAGCCAGCATTGGGACTGACCTGTGGAAGCCTCCATAGGGCACTGGCAAGGAGGGTCAGAGGCGGGCCCTGACTCAGTGGGTGAGGCCCGGGAAACATTATCCTGTTCCCCTGCTTGTGCAAGCTCATTGTCCCCAGTTAGGTGGCATCCACAGCCAAAACCGGGAGGAGCCCGAGATAGGTTCTCTCACCCACCACAAGGGGGTGGTGTGGGAGAGGCTTAGATATCCATGGCCCCAAAGCGAAGCGCTGAGGGCACTGCAGTGTTGGGGACAGCTTCTTTCCTCTCCCCTCACCCTCTCATCTCTGGACACCAACCAGACAGGCCCCACAGTGGCCACACTGCCACTCAGCCCTACAGCCTAGCTAGCCTGTCCTTGGTGCTTAGCACAGAGCCCCAAAAGGCGCTCAATTAATACAGGGCCAAGTCGGCCAGTGGGAGATGCAGATTAGGGGAACAGTCCTAGATGACCTGTCCTGAATCCTGTCTGGGGTGGTGTGAGGAACATCTGTCTAGCCCACTGCAGCTGTGTCTGCACACCCCACAGCAGTTCTGCAAAAGTGTATGGGGTAGTCATAACTGCCCCCCTTTGACAGGTAAAGACACCAAGGTGCAGAGGAGTAAGGCACTTCATTTTCCTGGGTCATTTGTCTTTCTAGTACCAACCCATTCAACTATGGGTGCTCCTCCAACAGCTTGGGTTGGGGTTGTGCACCCTCAAGATGATAGTGGCTTCATAAACCAGAGAATCTCAGAGTGCAGTGTTGTAAGAATCTAGGAACCTGAAACTTTAGAACTGGACATTTGAGGGGCTGAAGGGTACGCCAGGGGTGTCCAGCCCTGTGTGTGGATACACAGAGAAAGGGAACATGGGATGGGGTGGTAGAGGGAAGTATGAAGGAATGTGAGCCTTTGTCAGGGCTAATGCTGTCAGGGACTAGGGCTCAAGGCCATGAGTGTTGTCACACTGTGATAAACAGTGGCCCCTCAACACAGATGGTGTCCAGGGCGGCTGGCAGCGGTTATCTATAGAGCCGCAGTCTGGAAGCATCTTGGTAGTCACTGGAGAGAGACCGTTGATGGGACATGGAGTGTGTGTATCTCTGTGGGATTTGATGAAGCTGGGTCAGTATGTGAAGCCAAAGCATCAGAGAGAGGTGTCTGGTCTAGTTCACCAGAGAGAAGTTGTCCCAGCGAGAGTTATTCTCTGTGATTGGCTTCCCCAAAAGCAGATGTGGGTGGGGGGGCAGAGAGCACCCGTGTCTTCATCTTCTGTAGCAAGCACCTTAGTCCACATTCTGAAACTAGAAAGATTCCAGGCATAGCTGCCCCTTTGCTTTGGTGCGCGGTTACTTGCTGGCAAGCACCATGGCATCCTGTAGCACCAAGTGACCTGGGCTCCTCAAGCACAGACTCATGTTCCAGCCATCTCATGGGTGAGCTGACAATGACAGTACCCTCTCAGCTGGCTCTTGGAGGCTCGTGCCTGGGGTCTGCATAGAGGAGGCCTCAAAGTATGCATGGTCACATGATGCCTGGCACCTCCCTTGGTTGTGTCTCTGTCAACCCTGAGCTCTCACCCAGCAAGGACATGAAATCCACTTTTATGCCACATCTCCCTTCCCCCAGCCAGCTCCATGTACCTGTTCTTCAGAGTGGTCCCCTCAATGTCCGTCCCCCATCGAATGAATAAACAAGTGAAGGACAGGTGTCTTTCTTTTTCTCATACCGTTCTGTCTGAATTCAGAGCTTACTCATCTAGATTGGTTTGGTGGGTCCTTCTGACCCTGAAGGTCTTTGGTTCTTGTCCTCATATCTAAGCTAGCCAAGGCAAGGGAGGTAGTAACAGGCTACCTGGGGCTCACTAAAAGTCACTCCATTCTGTGAAGAGGCAGGCCCACTTTTCTGGACTGTCAAGCCTGAAGGTAGGCTGAGGAACTGGGTGGGAGACACTGGACCGAAGCCCCCTACCTGCTGCTTCTGCCTTCATCTGGCTTTCTGATTCCTGATCCCACATTCTTGTTAATTAATATTCAGGAAGAGTCTGACTCTAGTAGCTTCTATTTCGGGATCTCTGGCCCTTTGCCCTGTCCAACCTCCAGGTTTGGGGATTCCATAAAGAATGGAGGTCAGTCAAAGCCACCTGGACAGCCAGAGTAGACACATGGGGTCTCTTGCCTGGCCTCAGCCCCTAAACCCGGCCTATTGACAGAATGACCTCTGCCCTGCAGTTCGCTGCTTTTGTCTCTTTACCCCAACCTGGGACCCTTTTTAACACCAAAGGCTTTGCTTTCCTCTCCAGCTGCCACTTGGTCCCATGTCAGTACAATCCCTTGATAGATAACACTCACCCCTTATTCCTTGTACCACTGTACCACCATGCTCTCCTGGCTCTCCAAGTCTTGGGAGGGACAAGACATGACCAAAGCCTGATTTAGCAGATGAGGAAACTGGTCCCTCAACAGCCTGGCCACCATACTCCATCCAGAGTGAGCTGCCGAGGAAGACATCCTAGTTTCACCTGGCCCCAGCTCCAGTCTCACTTTGGGGGTGGAGCTGAGGACTGCTCGCTGTACCATGTCCTCTGTGCAGCTGCAGGGTGAGGTGCACCTGTGCTGAGCTTCCAGCCTGCACAAGGTCTCTCTTGAGAGCCTTGGGCCTGATGTTTGGCACATCCCTACTTCGTGGAGGAGGGAAGAAGGTTTGTGAAATTGTACCTAGCTCCCCAAGGCCACATAGCAACAAGCTCTGCCTGCTCCCATCTGAGCCAGGATGCAAGTGACTCAGGGCTGGGAGCCAGCAGCAATGGGAGGTGAGGGTGGAGTAGGAGCCACAAGCAGGTATAAGGGGTGGCCAGGGAGTAAGCCTCGTCCTTAACACAGAGAGCATGAAGCTTCGCTTCTGGTTCCTTCTGGCTGTGGTCTTGAGCATGGAGTTAGGTGAGTCAGGGATGTGGCCATCTTTTCTACCACCCTTACTTAGCACTGTCTATCAAGCCTGGGCCACCACTGACCCTTTGGGGTAGCCCTTTCCTTTCTCCTCTCCCCATCCTTGACCCCAAGACCTCCCCTCCCATCTACAAGCCTCTGTCTTCTGCCGCTAGCCTTCATAGATCTCTAAACCCTCTTCTCTGGACCCCACAACACTCAGTCTGCATGTTTACTTCTCAGTTTGAAACTCAACCCTAGGCATCCCCGACTCCATAGCAACAACCTTGCACACTCGCAAGCACACACACCTCTGCTACTTTGCCCCACTCCAGCCCCCGAGGCCCCAGCTGGTCCATCTTCTGCAGCTACAACTTTCTCCTGACACCCTCCTACCTCCGTTCTTAGATTTTGTTTCACCTTCCCAGGGTGATTTCATCCAGTTGACTTTCCGTCCCCTCCAACATCTGTACCCTCCAGGCTAGCTAGCTCCGTCTGCTTCCGTAATGGGTACCTTGACTCCAGTCCCTGCTGGTGACCTCCCAGGGACACCCACAAATACCATTGCCTATTCCTGGCCTTGCCACCATCTAATGGAGTCCAAGTCGTTCCTATATCCAACCCTAATCAATGCCTGAGCAAAGAAACAGTTGCGATCAGCAAACTGTGCTCCAAACTCAGCCAGCCCCAGCTCCCAGAAGCCTCGCCTAGCAAAACCTTCGTTTCCATCAAGGTTTAGAGACATTTTGTCTCTGTCAGGGCTGAGGTTTCAGAGGGAGTGCTCAGCCATGGGCCAGCTGCCGACTCCATCTTAGCCAAGGCTCTAGTATCTCAGGGGCATCTATGAGCCTGAGACAACTCTCTACACAGGGACCTCCCAGGCTATTCCTTCATATCCGCCCCTCAAGACAAAAGCCTGGCCACTTAGTAGTTGGGAGAGTCAGGCTCTGGGAGTCTCTCTGCATACTCCATGTAGACATCTTGGCTGGCTGCCTGCTCTGCCACCCATGGGTAATGCCACATCCTCAGGGCTCAACGTAGCCTGAGAAGGGTAGATTCCATCCTAAGCTGATCCCAGAGCGATAAAATAAGACCAGAGAGAGTCAATTGTCTCTGGCAACACTGCAATGGGATTGGACCTAGTAGAATCTGCTGTCTCAAGGCTTGTTCCATTGTCCCTCCTACCGTCTCCAAAACCCTCTTTCTTTAGGCAAGTGCCTACCTGGGGGTCTGTCCCTATGATCATACCACTGTGCCCAGAGCTGATTTCCTTCTGAGAGCTAAACCTTCCTGGCTTCCTTGATGACAACACAAAGACCCCCAAGAGGGACAGTTATTCTTTCTCTTAATGACACAGCTCCCGTCCCTGTCCTAGAGCATGCGATCATTTATTCTTGGAACATCTCTTGAGCCTCATCGGTGAAGCAGGGACCAGTGTGATGGATGCTTGGGGGGCATTGAGGAGTGGGAAGGGATCCCCGTTCATCTCGAGAACCCTAGGGAATAGATGTAGGGAGACAGCCTTAAGTACGAACGTAACAAGGCCAGCTCGTGGTGGATGTAGCGAAGGAGGATCTCTGTCCCAGAACCAAGAGGCTCCCCGAGAGGAGGTGGCCTATGAGCTGGGGCTTGTTTATGCCACACGGATGATGGAAAGGTGAGCCTAGGCAAAGCTAGGAGGCATAGAGAAGAAGAGAAATGGGAGTCGGTACCAGTCCAATTCTCCCCAGCACCTTGCCTGTCCCTTTTGATGCCCCAACCACTTGCCCCTCAGCTGCTATTCCCTTCCATGTGCAGGGACCCCCATGTTCAGTCTGTTTAGTATCTTTAACATTCATGGGACAGCTAAAGATTTTTTTTTTGGCTTTTGTTGCTACCTTTTTGTGCCCCTGGCAAGGTCTCAGCTATAGCTGCTTGGTAGGGGCTGGTAAACAGTCAAGGCAAGTGGTAGGGACCTGGCTGTGGTAGGAACTTCCTACCTGTCCACCTGCTCTATAGTACATACGATGAAGACCTCTGAGACTGGCCAGAATGGACCAGCAAACTTACATGTGAGGTCTGGTAGAGGTGTGGCTGTAGTAGGAGCCCTGGGGAGGAGCCAGCTTTCTATCTCAGACACTCCTCAGTGGCCCAGGTAGGATGGATTTCCCCTAGGAGCTTCCTCATTTAGGGTCAGCTCAGGACTTGTACAGAGCCCGTGTGCTGCACCATGATTGGTTATGGAGAATATCCAGGGCTGGGCATGGTGTTAGGGACTGCAATCCAAAGAAGAAAGCTTAAGGAAGAAAGAGGGAGAAAGAGGCAGAAAGGACAGGGAGAGGCAGGGAGACAGATAAGGGAATCCAGAGAAGAGCAGGGTAGGCCACTGGCCCGAATGGGGAGTCCCTGGGCTGCAAGACCTGTGATCTAAGATTTGCCAGGAAAATGGCCAGTAGAACTCAGAATGCTCCCACCTTCCTTCTGCCTGGCCTTGCCCTGGATTCCTTGCTAACTGGACAAAGGTCTCATCATCTTAACCCACAGAACAGAGACCTCAGGGCTAGAAATGATTTTTCTCAGGTCCCTGGAGGCTAAAGTCTAAGCCCCCCATCTCTCCCCATCCCTGGTCTTCAGGAGCAGGAACCTGTACTCCTCTTCCCCAGGAGATCCACCTCTGCTCCATCCAGCCCTTGGTGCTCTGGGCTGGAACACAGAGAAATTGGTTCCAATATGATCATTGTCTCACACAGTGGTAGACTGAGTATCAGGGTTTCACTTAACCCTTCTTCCAAGGTCTTGAGGTGCAAGGTCCCTCGAGGGAGGGTGGGCTACAGAGCTATGGGACTGGCTTGAGGATGGGAGCTGGGTACCAGAGCAGGTGGCATCCTCTGAAGGAGTTGCTCACCGGCTGCCCCTGTCTCCTTCTGTCTGTAGCTGTAATACAGGGCCTGCAATGCCACCTGTGCAAGGGATTTGGAGGATGCTCCCACCAGTCTCACTGCCCATGGAGATCCACCCACTGTGTCATCATTGCCACCCGTGAGTGTGATGGGAGGAATGGGCTGGACACACCCTTCTTGTACAGAGAGCTGGCTCACTGGACAGGCAGAGCCCAGAGCCCAGCAGATCAAGAACACAGTAGGAATATGTCTGGAAGCCTCTGCCTGGGTCAGAGACCAGGCAGGGTGTTTCAGCGCTTGGAGGTAGTCCTCAATACAGTGGCTGATGTGATGGAGGTTTTGGGAGCTCAGAGCTTCAGGAAGCACCATGGTTTCTCTCTTATCCCTCAGGGTCTCCCATCACCTTTAAAAACCTGCCTCTGGTGGAGAAGATGTGCTACAATCGCTGTCCTGATGTCCCCAGCTTGGGCTTAGGTCCTAACGTATCCATCGTTTGCTGCCAGTCCAATCTCTGCAACAGGGACTGACCACATTCCTCCAGCTGGCTCCACAGAACTATGGCATGTCCTTTGGTCAGGCTTGATCCTTGGAGATCATTCCAGCTTGGCCATCCCCAAGTCCCCCAACTCATACTTCCTCAGTAAGTTCTGAATGAAGTCCTGTGTAAATCCACTTAAGATCCAATCTGTGGGTCACCTTCAGTATCAACAAATCTCCCAATAAAAACTACCTGGATCACACAGTTGTTTAGTGGATGCAGTATATCAGGCATTAGGCTTGGCTATAGAGGGAATTGGATTCAGATAATTCCTTATCCCTTCCCTGTCTCATGTCAGTCATGGCCTTCTTGACCCAGGCTCTCTAATATATCCCCCACTGACCTTCTCTCTTCTACAAAGAGCCTGCCTATCTCCAGGTAGACACAGGGCCTAAAAGTCACAGGGGCCTGTAGATGGCTGGTTCTGTTCTCGAGCAGGCTATGAGTAGTTGCTGAGTCTGCAGGTACTTGAAAAATGCCCTAACTTGAGGTTGGGGCACCTGAGTATTACACTGATCTAATATGCAGAGGAGTATCTCAAAGAGATAGGGGATTGAGAATAGGGGCCAAGGAGCACCCAGACCTGGGACTGAGAGCTGGGGAGCACTCTAACCTGGAGCTGAGGGCTGGGGAGCACTCTAACCTAGGGCTGAGGACTGGGGAGCACTCTAACATGGGCTGAGGGCTGGGGAGCATTCTAGCCTGGGCTGAGGGCATTTAAAGAACATCCTTGATCTGGGGTTTGGGGCACTTGAGGAGAACCCTAGCCTAGGCTTGAAGGCTGACTGGAACCCTGACCTGGGGCCAATGAGCACACTCACTCTGAATGAGATTCCAGAAGCCTCCTACAGACACACAGTTGAGCAAGTGGAGAAAAAGTTCTCTGCAGAGGAGGAATGGTATCATTGACCACAGGCCTTTGGGGACCATCCATCTTTGTTGTCAGGAGCTCTTGGGGAAACCTGTTATCTTATCAGCCTTGTGTCTCTGGCACCTTGTTCTGTTCTGTCTTTCCTACTATGTCCTTGCCTGGTTTGCTTTGCCTATGTCTCCCAGAAGGCTACCCACACCCTATGTGGCCCTGGGCAGGATCTCTGCCTCCAGGTACTGATCAGGAATCTGCAATGAGAAAGCTGTGCCCTAGGGCAGTTGAATAGAGCTACCCAGATAGCATATCCACTGACCTTAGTATGGACACGGGGAATTAAATGCCTAGAATTTGTGCCCAGTAAATATTTAATTTCCAGTTCCCAACCAGGCCTGGGGGATAAGTTTCTGGCTCCTGGTTTCGGAAGACCAGAAGTACATCACAGTTGATACCTGCCAGGAAACACAGAAGCAGGCCCTGCCCTCAGCTTGGCAAAGTTCTTACAAAAATAAACACTTGCAAAAGGTAAGACCCATGAGGAGAGCAATGCCCAAGCAGAAAGCAACTGACAGAAAGCTGGAGTCTCAGCATCAGCCAAACCATGGAAAAGAAGTACCTTGTGCTAGCAACGCCTGGATAAATAGTGTTGCTCTGGGCAGAGGGAAGGACAGCTGGTTGCTGTACTAGCACCCAAAGCAAGAAAAGATGAATCCAGACCTCTCTCACCAGGTCAAAAGACACAAAGTAAAACTTAAGACCTTTTTCTTGTTTTGAGAACTGGTCCTACTGCATATAGCCCAGGCTGGCTCCTACCTCAGCTTCCTGTGTGGCTGAAAAAGAGATTCCTTAAATGCTAGCCCATTCAGAAGATAAAAGGCCTCGAACTTGACTCTAATCCCATGATTAGATTAATCGGATGATTAAACTCAGGGCTACGGTATGACCAAGACACGGAAGTGGTGCCCTTGGGCATATACGCATGTAGAAACAATCCACAGAAACTGGCCCACAGTTGCTCAGGGCAGGGCTATTCACACACAGTGGCCACAGGATGGAAACCCACATACCCATTCCCATGAGCAAACACATATAATATGACATGTTCAGGCTATGAAATCCCAGCCACCAACCTACGGGAGTGAGGTACTGACCCACACTTTTGCAGGGTTGACCCTTCAAATGGTACGCAACACTTTATCCTCTAGGACTCTGCATGAAATCACAGGGGTTTAGGGAAGACTGGAAACAGATGAGGGAATCGCACCAGGCAGGAGGGGACACCCAAAGTATTTCCTTCTACTGTACTATGCAATATCACTGGTCATCAAAGTGCTTGTCCATTTCTTTGGCCACTGTAAATGTCAGTCTCCAAGAGTAGAGTATGTATTTGGGGGTGACAGAGCATCTCAATGGGAACATGTCATATAAAGGCTGTGGCAGGGAGAAAGGCAAACTGGGAAGTGTGCCCAAGCTTCTTGGGTATAGCAGTCTGTTGGTCTTAGACATGTGGGTCAGGGCTTGGCAGCTGTGGTTGGGGGAAGTGGCTCTGCTGTGATGTCCAGTGCACTTTGTCTGAACTGCCATAGTTACAGAGAGCTGCATGTCACGTGCTGGGCGTGCAAAGCACAGGGTGTGCACAGAGCAAGGAATCTCTGGCAAGGCTCCTGAGGAAGCCATTGTGTCCCAGGCAGGTAGGCAGGAGCCTTCTCATCACCACTTCCTTCCTGTGTCTAGTTTTACTGGGTCTGTCAAGAACATTCTCATTCTGGGATCATCAGCTTTTAGGATCTCTCTCTCTCTCTCTCTCTCTCTCTCTCTCTCTCTCTCTCTCTCTCTCTCTCTCTCTCCCCCACCCCCTGTCAGCCAGCAAGCATTCCCACAGTGGGCTTCAGCTGGCCATTCTCCAGGTCAATACAACTCAGGTACCAGCTATGTGTAGCCCACATGAGATGCTGCAGGTTGAGGACTCTGTCCCCAAGGCTATGCCCGCCTCACATCCTTGCTCTGGCTCTTTCTATATGGTGTTTTGGCATCTTTGGATTCTCTCTCTCTCTCTCTCTCTCTCTCTCTCTCTCTCTCTGATTTACTTATTTATTATGTATACAGTGTTCTGCCTACATGTGCGCCTGTAGGCCAGAAGAAGGCATCAGATCCCATTACAGATGGTTGTGAGCCACCATGTGGTTGCTGGGAATTGAACTCAGGACCTCTGGAAGAGAAGCCGGTGCTCTTAACCACTGAGTCGTCTCTCCAGCCCTTTGGTCATGTTCTTGATTTTTAAAAAATGGTTAAAAGTGTCACCTGATTTTTTGGGGTCCACAAGGCCTCAGTGCTTTTCTAGGCACGAGTAATTTCTCATTATCTTCCCAAGAAACCCAGAACCTCTTGTGTTAAGCAACCCAGAAGCTGAGAGTCCCATCCCTTTGGGGCTTTATAGAAGTTTCATCATGTGGACACGACTGATTACATCATTGGCCACTGATGGTCAGCTCAGCTTTTAGTCCCTCTCCTGTCCTTAGAGGAGATTTTGGGACAAGGATCAAAATCTCCATCCATCAATTGTGCTAGTACCTCTTAGGTGATTGGCCCTGTCCTGGAACTACTGAGGGGCATCCATCCACCTGTCATTCATCAACTTATAAAAGACACTCAAGAGCTTTAAGGAACTGCGTGTCAAGAAACTTGGCTGAAGCCCAAAGGTGTCTTTCACAATGCTACAGGAATGGAGGGGTGGTACAATAGCTGGGAGCACGGGACACAATAGCTGAGACAATGGGACACAGCAACCACAGTGGTGTTTGCAGATGTCTGTGGCTATGCCAAAACTGCTGATCTTGGGAGGTGCAACCTTCCCACACCCTCTTCAGCATGGTCAGTTTGTAGCCCAAGCTGGCCTTGAACTCATGGCTTTCGTTTCTCACGCAAATGCAGGGATTACAGGTGGGTACCAATGCACTCAGCAAATGATACACTTTGAAATGTTTGAGGTGCCTGGTATGTGAGATGTAGTCAATAAAGTCGCTGAAAATTGGAGAGAAAAATAGCCAGGTGGTGGTGGCACATGGCTTTAATCCTAGAACTCAGGAGGCAGAGGCAGGTAGATCCCTGAATTCAAGGCTTGCCAGGTCTACAAATTGTGAGTTCCTGACAGGACAGGGAGACATAGAGAAACAGCAGCAGCAGCAGCAGCAGCAGCAGCAGCAACAGCAACAACAACAACAACAACAACAGATGAAGAAAAGATAAAGATAAATGAGATGCAAAATTGAGCATCATAAATTACTATACAGGGATCTTAAACAATAAACATGGAAGGTTCCTAGGACTTGGGAGGCTGAGACTGAAGGTTCAGACTAGCCTAGGTTACATAGGATGACTTGGGAGAGAGGGCTGGTAACAAAATTGAAAGACAGAAGACCAAGAAGGAAATATTTGTCCCCTATGTCAAGAAGTACACCACCCTCCACGTGTGCCCACAGGGCAGTGACACAGGAAATGGTCAGAGGACACGCACACAGGGAGGCCAAGGAAAGAGGGGTGCTGAGAGGGTGACAAAGCAGAGCCTCCTCACCCTTATTATCAAGGCTATGACACATATAAGAGCACCTGATGAGAGGTGCAGAGGCTGGGGCCTGTGGAAGGGGTGTGGCCTCCAGTGCTGCTTCATGGAAGACAACTGGCAGAGTCTGAAGTATCCCCAGTGTTTGCTGGATGCTGCTTCTGTAGATGCCTTTGTCCCCTGTCTAATCCAGTTAATGTCCACTGCTGTATGGTCATGGCTATGTTAGGTGATTTACAAAATCAGAGGTCTCAAGGCAGACTTTCAAGAGTGGGGCTGTCTAGGAGGCTGAAGTGCAGTTTGGGAATCTGAGGTCAGAGGTCTGAGTGTGGAGTGATCTTTAATGGTTTCTCATGAGTACTCCATAAGTCTTCTGGGAAAGGCTTCAGTTAAACTACAATTATTGCTATGTTTACCTTCCTGGAAGCCTCCAGGAAAAGCTGCACCATGGTAGTAAGGACTAGGGTGGTTTATGATTCCGGGGACAGTGAAGCTGTGGAGGGTGCTTCCAGTTCCTCTGGGACCTTTCTAGAAACATCCCTTTGATGTCTGGTAGGTGGGTGTAAAGGGTGGGTATGGAGAAGATATCTATTGCCCCACTTTCAGGATGAAACTGTGAATGTCAATACTCCACAGATCCAGAGGTTGGTGCACAGAGGCTCATGCACACAAGCATCCTTCTGGAAGGATACTGGAGGGATAGGGCACTTTCCAGAGCACCATCCTCGATTCTGTTTGTGAGCTTACTTCCTTTTCAGTGTGGGAATATTTTAGAGCCACCCATCTGCACACCTGGATTGCAGAGACAGTGGGGTATGGCTACCTGGGGAGAAAGGCATGTGGGTATTGTTCCCACAATGGAACATTCTGGGTTGAAGTTGAGCATGGGCCAACATAACTCTGAGTAGCTGTAGGTGGGGTACAGGATTACAAATGGTCCCAGCACGACCAGCTCTCCCAATGAGGCCAGGGCATCAGTCCACAGAGCAGAGGTACTCACAGGGTATGGATGGTCCTGGGAGATGGTGTAAGAGGACAAAGGAAGAGCCACAGACAGGGAAAGCAGAGGCAGGGCTTTCCTGAACTTGAAAGAGCATCCATCCAGACCTTCCTCCATCGCCTGACCTGGGCTCAGGGTAGCAAGCAGTGCACCCCATCCCAGACATCCAGGTCTCTGCCACTGATCTCCATTACCTTGAGAGGCAAAGACAAGTGCCAGTCCAGAGTCCCTGCTCATGGGCTTCTCCCTGTTCACCACGCCGTGGTACAGCCCATCTCATCAATATTGCAGCCACAGAGGGAAGGGATCTAGGCACGTTCTGTAGTAGATCTCCCCTGCTGAGTCCCGGTGTGCCCAGAAAACAGTAGCTGTGCAGTGTGAGAGGGACTGAAGGGTGGGATCTGACCCCCAACCCCAGCTCCAGCATGACTTCTCAATGTCGGCAGCCCCAGAAGAGAAGCCATAATGCCCTAGCATAGTAGCCGTGCTATAGAAGTCCTCCATGGGCATCCTCTGAGCGCTAAGCCCAGACACACATAAGGCCTGATCCCCGTCACACACTGAACTGATCCTGGTTATATACTAACCCCTAATTCTTCTAATCACCATGCTTTATTCTTAGTTATACTCTGAGACCTGATCTTATTCACACTTTGGGCCCCGACCCTGATCCTGGTCATACTCTAAGTTTTGATTCCAGTCATATTCTGAGTCCTGATCCTGGTCATAGGCTGAACCCTGATCCTAGTAACACTGAGCCCTGATTTCCTTACACTCCGAGTCTTGATCAGGTTACACTCTGAGCCTTGACCCTAGTCACACACTAAGCTTTGATCCAAAGGTTCCTGGAGTTGGGAAGGGAAGGATGTGGACCTCTCAGAGCAGAGGCCTCTCAGACTGAGCCAGCTCAGATCCTGGCTAGGCTACATTCCTCCCTGCCCCAAGATGGGAATTTCCCAGGTACAACTTGAGTGGGTGTAAAGTCTAAGAGTGATACTTAGGGGCCAGGTATATTACAGGGGATAAGGCAGAGTTGGAGGCCCTGGGCCCAAGGACAGGAAGGAGCTGAACCGAGCTGGGTGTGGTGGAGAGATTGGGTTTGACCCAAGGACACACATGGGTGTAAAGTGGACTGTCTAATCCAGTTAACCTCAGCACATCCGTCCCCACAGCTGTGTGATCATGGCCATCCATGGTGAATGATTTGCAAAATCAGACAGGCTTGGGATGCCACCCGGCTTGCTAGGTGACCTTGTCTTAGTCAATTAACTTCTCAGAACCTAGTTTCTTTATCCACACAAAAATTAATTAGTGCTCTGTCCCTCCAGAACTGTCATGAGGAAAAATACAGTTGGCAGGCTGAATGTCTGACTCATGCTAGGCTAGGGAAGCCCTGGGAAGCAGTGGTTGATTGAGAGCCCAGGCAAATGAGGACTTTCCATGCAGGGTGAAGTCAGACCCCAGTGGAACTCCTGAGGGCAGAGGCAAGAATGGACATCCCTTGCTATGAGGTAGTAAGAGCAAAGCTAGGATAGGATTGAGGTTTGGGTGCTGGACAGAGACACCTGGGAAGCCCAGTAACTGTGTGGTCTTTACTATTAGCAGAGTCGGGCAGGCAGCTGTGCCCCTTCCCCTACATGTCTCAGCTGGAACAAGGTACTCTAGGGAGATGCCTGTGGGGAACCAGGTCATGCTAGGTGCTGCCAGGTCATGGGGATCCCTGTCATAGCATTCTGTCTGGGTAAGGACACTATACACCACACAAACACACACACACACAAAGAGAGAGAGAGAGAGAGAGAGAGAGAGAGAGAGAGAGAGAGAGAGAGAGAGAGAGAGACAGACACACAGAGAGACTTCCTTCCCTCCAACTCAATAGTTTTCACCCTTCCTAATGCTGTGACCCTTTAATGCAGTTTCTCATGTAGTGGGGTCCCCCACCCATAAAATTATGTTTGTTGCTACTTCATAATTGTAATATTGCTACTGTTATGAATCGTAATGCAGGTATTCCTTTTAAAGGTAGAAGATTGCCAAAGGGGTCTTGATCCACAGGTTGCGAATTGCTGTTCCTACCCTTTGCCCTTCAGTGGAGGGGCCCAGGAAAGTCCTGCCTAAGATCAACCTATGAGCCATTTGAGACCAAGGTGTACAGACAAGCACAGAGTGGATGGCCCTCTAGGAAACATGAAATAGTGTCCCCCAAAGCAATCCTGGGCCCTCCCCATCTCACCCTTCCTTCAGAAACTTTCCTGTTGATCAAGCGAGTTCTGTCTTTGTTCCTTAGGCCTTTGAGCAAACTCTGAGCTGGTTGTCAGTGGCAATTTGGCACACCCCCGCCTTCCCCCTGACCACTTCAGAGGAGCTGGGAGGGGCAAGGTCATCTTGGAAAGAGTCCATCCAAGAGCTGCCCAGCCATAGCTCTGGAGATGGCCACAAAGTGAAGGGTCGTTAAGATAGATGGGAGAGTGCAGTAGAGCCCAAGTCCCATTGTCCCATTCTGTGCAGCCTGGAGACCCCTGACCTGTCCCAGAAGGAGGACTCTGGAAGAGTCCCTTGCTTGGGAGTTGCAGGGTGGTGTGGAAGGGTCCCCAGTGCGAAAAGAAAGACACCCCATATCCTATGGGGAAGGAGCCTGGGAAGGGTGGAACAGCAGCTTTGAAGGGTGGAGCTCAAACAGTCTGAGAGGGTTGGGTAGGGTCCGAGGGAGCCTGAGGAGTGCCCTGGGGAATGGGGTGTTGGTGAGGAAACAGGGCAGGCCCTCCAGAAATCTGATCCTTCTCTAATCTGCTTAGCCAACCGGTCAGACCACCGCTGTAGGCTTTTCGGCATCAGCATCCCCACTGGGCAGGCCTGAGCGAACACCTCGACCATGCAGGGTACCTGGATGGTGCTGTTGGCACTGACATTGGGCACCTTCGGGGAGCTTGGTGAGCATGGGGGAGCATGGGAGTGGCAGGGTTTGAGGTCCCCAGGACTGTCCTCAGACAGAGCTCCTCATGGGGGAGTTTCAGAGAGGAAGAAGGTAGGCCTGGGACTGGCCAGGTGGGCAGAAGCCAGCACCAAAGCCCTACGTGCCAGTGGAGAGCCTCAGGATATTGGCATGTTTACTAGTGAAAGCCTTTGAGCAGGAGAAGAGGGGAGATCTCAGATGCTGTGGCAGGTGGCTTGAGACTCTGGGTACAATGGAGATGTAGATGGGGAAAGGACACCCAGAAATGTTCAGAGATGTGGTGACCACTGGACTCGGGGTTTAGGAGAACAAGTGACTGTATAATGTTGACACTCACCCAGTTACATGCTCGGTGGTGAGGGCTCAAGCCAGGTTGCTCCACACATTTCTTGGAGAGACTGAGTGGGCCAGATAGGTCTCTCTCTCTCTCTCTCTCTCTCTCTCTCTCTCTCTCTCTCTCTCTCTCTCTCTCTCTGTGTGTGTGTGTGTGTGTGCGTGTGCGTGTGCGTGCATGCATATGTGTGTGTGTGCACGTGCATATGTGTGTGCGTGCATGTATGTGTGTGTGTCTTTTGATGATTATTCCAAATCAGCTGACCTCATCCTGGCCCCAGGCTGAGCCCATTGTTCAAGGGGCACATTCTGTAAGACCCTGGTTCCATGGTCATGGTGTCTCCCTTGAGCTTGGTTTGTGGGTATCTGGTCCCTGGCTAGTGTCCTTGTCTCCTTAGACTAAGTCTCCATGGCAGAGCTGTGCATTGGTTGCAGACGTTTTGTGGTTTTGAGACAGGAAGGTCTGTTCACTGCCCTCTCATCCTTCTCCTAGCTATGGCCTTACAGTGCTACACCTGTCGGGATCCTGTGAGTGTGTCCAACTGTGTCACCATTACCTCCTGCCACGTCAATGAAACCATGTGCAAGACCACACTCTACTCCCTGGAGATTGGTCAGTAGGATCTGGGTGGACAGAACTGGGATCCAGTGCCATAACTCCTCCAGACCACTGATCCCTGACCATCTGGGTCCCCACACAGCCTGCACCATCATTCCACCAATTCTGCCAAGAGACTTTCTGTCCTGGCCATCACCCTCCACTTTTCCCCTCTCTCCTCATCATGGGAGGTCCCTGCAGTTTCTCTGGAAGTCCTTGTAAAGGACTGGCTGTCTTACAACTTGGGTTTTACATTCTATATTACATACAAATCCCCCCCCCCCCCGAGACCAATTCAAGATGCCATAAGTGTCTCTTGTATGTCACAGGCTTCAGTGGTCCTGGAGAAAGGGGAATCTAGGCTAGTGGGATAGGTGACCCCAGAGTGGTTGGCCTGTGGGCTTGGGGCACAGACACAGTAAAGGAATGGCTTTTCTAGTTGACACTTTGTGCATCCTACAGTGTTTCCTTTCCTGGGGGACTCCACGGTGACCAAGTCCTGTGCCAGCAAGTGTGAGCCTTCTGACGTGGATGGCATTGGGCTAACCCGGCCAGTGTCCTGCTGCAATTCTGACTTATGCAACGTGGATGGGGCACCCAGTCTGGGCAGTCCTGGTGGTCTGGTCCTTGCCCTGGCATTTATCTTTCTCATGGGTGTCCTGCTGTAAAGCCATGGCTCTGCCCCCTTGTCCCTGACAGCCCAGTTCCATAATGCCTTGAAGAAGTACAACAGCCACCTGCATCAGTCTCCTGAGTCTCCTTTCTGGGTACCAATCTGTCTTGTGGGTAGGGAGAGGGCATCCTTGCTATATCTTTGACTTCATCCCTATCTCTGGGAGTCTCTCCTGTCTCCTAAAGTTTCATATCATAAGCAAGGACAGTCACCAGGTTTGGGACACCCATGCAGACCAGGAGATTGCTGCCTTCGAGGTCTTAGGACCTGTGGGGAGCCAGGTAAGTGGGCAGAGGCTGGGCTAGAGGAGAAGCTCACTGGATAAGGCTCCGCTCTCCTGCTGGAAGCGGCCTCTCTCCACCACAGGTGTAGGCTATGTGGGCTGCATACGGCTTGTCTGACCCTCTGGTTCCAGGCTAGAGTGCCATGACCAAGTGCCATTAAGGACACCCATACCTGGAGAAGAGGAGACTGAAGACCTAGGAGGTTCCCTGTCCTTGGGACTTGGGAGTCCCCATCTTTGTCTCCTGTGGGCCAACTTCTGAGGACAGGGATCCTACAGTCTAGTGAGATCCACCACAAGTCTTAGAGTACAACCAATCCTAAGCATTACTGCTCTTTGTCTGGAGGCCTCTGAAGGGAGAACAAGGAGGTAGACTTCCAGAATGGGGATAACTAAAATCTATAATTCTTCTGCTAGCTTGGGTACATACATCTTGGGATTGTAATTCTGAGTTCTGACCTGTCAGCAGGGGGCATGGTCCTGTCATTACCTTGAACCTTCTCACTCAGTTCCTCCTGGCCACCTCCTCTTATTTCCCTTCCAACTTTGTCTTCGGTGGTGGTGGCCTCTTGCCTTCTTTCTCCTCTTATATAACCCGCTGACTCCAGTCAGTGCTGTCTGTGTGCCCATGAGTGGAGGGCACCGTCCACTTTTACTGAAGACTTACAATCATGCAGTGTGATGTTTTCATCTCATATATGTAGTTCAAGGATGTGACATGTGATACATGTAGACCCCTGTTTGCTATCCACCACCAAGGTAGCCAGCAGTTGGAGGATTTCCTGTACCTTACCAGCCAGCAGCCTGTGCACTCTCAGAGCTATCCTATATCTCATCCTCATCGCCAAAGGAGAGTCTTCAGCTGACACTTTCCCGGGTTGATGGTTTCCTGTGCTAATCTTTACCTAGATGCCTCTTCATCCATTTTCTGAGGCAGGGGTTTCATACAGACCAGGATGGTTTCAAATTCACTATGTAGCTGAAGATAACCTTGAACTCTTGACCCTTCTGCCTCTGCTTTCTAAGTGCCTCCATTGGCCTGGTGGCTACCCATTCTTTAATCTATCTATTCATTCATCTATTCATCTCCATTCAACCATTTGTTTATCCACCCATCACTACACCTTTCCACCTACCATTTTCATCTTCCATCCATCTGTCTATCCTCTCGTTTCTTTTCTATTATCTGCCTATGCACCCATCTCCTTTCCATTCTGCCCTCTATCCTCCAACAAATGCTCTCAACAGTCAGCATGGCCAGGTCTGGGGTGGGAATAGAAAGGGACTTAGAGAAATGGGAAGATGCTCCTTCACTTGCAAAGCTGATGCCCCAGCAGGAGTCAGGAAGGGCAGGTGAGCATCAGGTACCAAGGGGTGGGTGGGGTGTTCTGTCCGGTAGGCACCAGAAATCCAGAGGACGTTTCTGAGAAGAGAGGCATGTGGTGCGATTTGCATTTTGGCAGGTGCCTTTCAGTGGAAGGTAAAGGATATGGCCAAGGAGGAGGAGGACTCCCAGAAACAGACAGGGTGATCTGGCAGACAGCTACGGCTGGACAGTAGCCAGCTGGATGGGAGGGAACAAGCAGAGGCCAAAACTCCATCTTGCATAAAAGCTGGTGATTGCCTCGGATGCCTGGCTGGACCTGGAGAGGGACCTAAGGGGTCCTGGTCAGGGCAGCTGACAAGAGAGATGATTTGAGGGAATCTTGTCAGAGACTCTGTTGGTTTCTGCAGACAGTCTTGCCTGGCCTGCGCAAGTTTTACACGCATCCCTTCATTTCAGCATCCCAGTAACCTCAAGGGCTGGGACCGTCATCACTGCAATTTAAAGATTAGACTGACTTAGAGAGGAGAAATGATTGTCCCAGGGCCACAGCACAGCACCTTCAGCACTCAAGTCCACGGAGAAGCCCTGTCCCAGGCTCAGAGAATGGAGCTAGCCCTCCAAGTCACGCATGTTATCTTGTGCTGGGTTCAAACCTGGTCTCCTTGTTCCACACCTGGGACCAGTGGCAAGGGTGTGGACTTACACGAAGAAGCTGCCAAACAAGGGCATAAATTCTGCCCTGCCCAGCAGTGCTGCCTTCCCGGCCTTACCAATCAGGGGCCAGAAGAGGGCATGGTCGCCCATGAGGATGCTGTGTGCCCTCTCCCTGTCTGCTGCTCCACCCAGCACCTCCTCTGCCACCACTGACCTGTGAGGTCATCCCTCCTTTCTAGAGCCAGGACAAGTAGCCCCTTCAGGCAGCCTTGGGTCAGCCTCCTGTCAGTGTCTCCTGTCCTTAGTATACAAGCCCGCATTGCTCATGAACACTCCTTCCCCAGCCCTGGGATCCAAGTTCACTTGCACTTCTCTCCAAAGGGCCTTACAGGGCCATAAAGACCCATTTTTGCTGAGCGCGGTACAGTAGATGCTCATCTGCCCTGTTTACAGATGAAAGAGATTCTTGAGTGAGTGCCTGGTGAACAGGCCTGGGTCATCCAGCAGGCCATGAGTAGGCTCAGTCTCCCAGTCTCCAGAACCAGACTTTCCCTGGCTCCTCTCCCAACCTCTGGGTGTGGTCTGTGGACAGAGCCCCAGGGATGAGTGGCCCCACTATTTTACTTGTAGGAACTGTAGTGCCTCCCTCTGTAAGCCACACCTTCTCTCTACTTTTATACAAACCTTGTACAACTGGCTTCACCCTGCAGTGCCAGGTCACTTCTGCCCTAGCAATCCATAAACAGGAAGTCAAGGTCTGGAAGGAAAAGGGGGCTATCCCAAGGCCACTCATAGAAAGAGCGGTAAGGCCAGGAGAAAAATGCAGGCCTTCTAGGTGCCTAGACCAGAGCTCCTTCTCCACTGCAGGCTGTAATTCTGCTGTAAGAGTCTGTAAGGGGTGGACACACATGCAAGCTGCCAACCACTCACCTATTGTCACTTGTTAAAGCCAAGTATTATCTATCCATCTATGCAGTCAATCGTCCATCTATCCTGTATCCATCTATCCACTTGTCATCATCAATCCCCCACCCATCCACCCATCATCTGTTCATCCATCCACCCACCTATCTTTCTATTCTCTGTCCCTCCTCCCTCCCTCCCTTCCTTCCTCCATCTTCCTACCCCCATATCCATCCATAGGGCCACTCATTAGAACCTTGGAGAACAACAACAAAACAAAACACAAACCAAAGAGACCTCAACTGGAGAGGGTTATGGAAGACGAAGGCCTAGATAGTCCTTATGGCATAAGAAAACAGCCAATGCGCCCATAACATGAAAGGCCCAGACAGGAAGAAGCACAGGAAACCAGAAGAGACTATCAGGTCAGGAGAGTAGGTAGTCTTGCTGTCAGGACTAAAGCCAAGAAGCTGAAGCTTGGTCTAAAAGCCATTCATCAGTGGTCAGGGGACTGGCAGTGGATGTGGAGGGGCCAGTCTAAGACCCTATATCCACCTCCACCCTCACAGCACCTATACCTCATTAGGCACCCCTTCCTTTCTACACTGGCTCAGCCTCTACTTTGTGGGTACAACTGGATATACAGTAGATCTATCTTAGGCAGATGGTGATACAGTTTCTGTGAGGTTCTCTGTAAGACAGATCTGAGGCAGCCTTGCACCTGGGCCTCAGCGGTTCTCAGGACCAGGCGATCTGGCCTATTGGATTCATTCACATAGCTGAGGCAAGAGACTCATCAAGGGCCAGTTGATCCAGGCTCTAAAAGACTTCCTCAGTTGGAGCTATCCTGGGACAGCAGAGCATAGGGTCGAGTACTGGAGGTGCATCAGCAGAGGCAGGACCAAGAGTCCCAGACAGAGGTTCCCAAAAGGTCCATAGAGGAACCCCACCCTGGGATGGGAAGTGATGATGGCTCCCATCCACCTCCCACATCCACAGCCCTGTGCCTCCCTACTGAGTCATTCTGGTCCTGCCAACACCCAGGAGCCAAAGCCAGAGGCTGAGTATAAATCCTCAATATGAGGCCAGCCAGGGCTCCCAGCTGCTGAGCACTGAAGAATGGCCCTTCACTCAGCCATGTGGCTGCTGCTCTTGGCAGCCTGGAGCATGGGCTACGGTGAGTGGCATGGAGTGAGGTTAGCAGGGGGACTCTGCTGTGGGCCTTGGTTCATCCCATCTTCTAATGGGAGAGAGGTGCTTTGTAGCCAAGCCATCCTCTGGACCCTTGATGAGCTTCCTGGGTCTTAGATCTCAACTTGCTCCTGGGACAGAAGTTTTGGTCATGGCCTGTTCTCCAGGGGGAAGGGAGGATGTGGTGTTCACTTCTGTCTTGGACATCTGGGTCTTGAAGAATCTCAGGAGGTCACTTTCTCTCTCACCTACCTGGCTCCAATATGGGCCCCTGGAGCTAGGTGTTAAGACTGTGACCCCTAACCCTTGCTAGGTGAGGCCTTCAGGTGCTACACCTGTGAGCAGCCCACAGCCATTAACTCATGCAAGAATATTGCTCAGTGCAAGCTGGAAGACACAGCCTGTAAGACTGTACTGGAGACAGTGGAAGCAGGTAAGCCTGGGCTCAGGCAAGGGTTGGGGGGGGGGGTCCACCTGGCGTCAGGTTTACCTCCTCCCACCCTGTTCCCTTTCATCCACCATTTTTCTGCTCAGCCTAGGAGGCAGAGGGGCAGGAATGGTGTGTGTGTGTGTGTGTGTGTGTGTGTGTGTGTGTGTGTGTGTGTGTGTGTTGCTGGTGCTGTTGGTATCACACCTTAAAGATGCTACCCAGCAGTTAGATGTATAGCCCCTCAAGTAGCTGAACTGAAACTGTGGCATTGGGGATATGGAGAGCAGGGAAAGGTAGAAGGCAACAGTTGGCTGAAACCGTGGCTCTGCCCAGATATGTTAAATGTGCCTTAGGCTAGAGCTCCTACTCAGGACCAGGTAGTAAGCATGCTCCACAAAGGCTGGCACTAGTAGGGATAGATGTTCCACAGCTGGGTGGGGGTTGGGCAGATTTAAGATGTAGGTTGAAGGAGGGGTTTGAGAAGGCAGGACACTGTGGGAAGGGCGTGCAGAGGCAGACAGGAGCTGCAGTGACACTGGGCTCTGATGTCTGCCCATCCTGCAGAGTTCCCCTTCAACCACAGTCCCATGGTGACCCGCTCCTGCTCCACCTCCTGCCTGGCAACCGACCCTGACGGCATTGGGGTTGCCCATCCTGTCTTCTGTTGCTTCCGTGACCTCTGCAATTCAGGGTATCCAGGCTTGGTGACAGGCCTCTAGACACACAGGCAGTCTCGCTCCTACTATATCTGCTCTCCTGGCAGGGCCCGGTGCTGCCTGCAGTCATCTCTGCGTGCTTGGCTCTGTGAGCAGAGCTCACAGGGCCTCAGGTCACTCACTGTCCACCAAACTCGTGGAAAATAAAATAAGTCAAGGGCAAAGGGGCCTCTCTGTTCTTGCTGGGCACTGGGAACCTGAAGTGCTGGCCTGCAGGGAAGACAGGCTGTATTCTGGTATGTTCCAGGACCTGATCCTCATTCTTATGCAAGGTTTTTTTTTTTTTAATTCATATCTCGGATGAAGAGACATATATACCTAGAGGGAGAGAGGCCTCCTGGTTACCCATCTCAATCCAGGGCAGGTTCCTAAAACCAGGAAACCCTCAGTATTCTCCCTCTGAACCCTAAATCCTGTCCTAGAACAAAAACTTGAGGTTGGAATTCAATTGCTTCTGTGAATGGGTGGTCTGTCCAAATCTGCTAGGAATACAATAGATCACAGAGGGAAGTACACAAAGCCCAGCAGTCTCTCTAGTCTCCCTGAAATGTCCATTTCTACAACTCTGTCACCCTCATCTCTCTTACAATGGCCTACCCATTCCCTTGAGACAGAAGAGGAGCCAAATGAGACTATAGCCGATGTCCACTTTTCTACAGACTCAATGCCATGCTGGACATGGAGCCCTCCCAAGGGCAGTGGCCAGGGCTGCTCCTGAAGGCAGGGGATGGAGCGAACAGAGTGCACTCAGGGGCTGACTCTCCAGCCAGGGACTCAAACTCTTTAGGACCCAGGAACATTTGCCCTTTGGCTGCTGTTTCCCTTTCCCAGTGTAGCCTCAGGCAGTCCCTTCCACAGGGTTCTGCCCTCTGTGAGGTGTGTAGCAGCTGTGGGGCCCTGAATGGCCCCAGGCACTGATGCAGTATCACAGAACACTTCCTGGATTCTCCCAGTTAAGAAGCCATGGCCCTGAGTCCCACTGGCAATCAGGACTGCTGGGCTGGGTACTGTGAAAAAGGTAGCAGGTTGTCCAAGAGACTGCAAGGATGGGGGGTGGGGGGAGAGTAACCTGGACAATGTAGGATACCTCAGGACCCCTGAGAGGTGTGTGAAACATCTCCCCCACAATTTCCTGTCCTGCCAACCTGGTCTCCTAAGTCTCACCAGCTAGGTCCACATCTAGGGCCAACTCCATACTAGAAGGTCCCCTCTTGGGGCCATTCCCCTACATTGTGGCTGAATTTCAGAGAGAACTCAGGATTTGGAGGCAAGAGACCAGGGCTACTGGTTCACTGAACAGGTATCACCCCCCAGTGGAGCAGCTGGGGTACTACTACCTTGGGTGTCTTGAGACAGAGAGGTAGGAATGGGAGAACCCTGTCAGGTCTGGTCCTGAGTCCATGGGGAGGCAGGAGAGCTATGGCTTAGCACCCAAAGGGGCTAGCTTAGAAGAGCCACAAGCTAGGCTCAGCTACCTGGTCCCCAGTGCCAACAGGGATCCGAAAAAGCCCTGGCCCCACGGTTGACCTTGAAGCTACACACCTATGAACATATCTACACAACTACACATCTAGATTATTAAGCAGGGAACTCTATGTCCAGGCAATGTGGCAGGCAATGTGGCAGGCTGGTGGCAGCTGCTCAGTCAGGCACAGAAGCTCCACCTTGTTCCTACCACTTCCTATCTGGAGTCCCAGTGGGACTGTCCGGCAGCACTCAATACCTGCTAATGATCCAGCCAAACCTCCCAAGGACCCCCACCCTCCAGGTTATCCTTTAATACTCTTTAATACTGCCCATCTCCTGCCCTCTACTCTAATAAACCCTGAAAAGGAAAAACTCTTCCAAATCCCCTGAAATTAAGACACTGAATAGCTACCCACGTGCCTATCGGTTCAGGGCAGGGTAGAGCTGGAGGTGGGGAGGGCAGAGGTATGGGACAGGTCTTCCCAGCTACACACTATTGGCTAGCTGTGCAACCTCTCCACCCTTGCCCCTCCCCCCCCAGGCCCTCAGGCCTATGCACTGTGCTGTGTGGAGCACAGATCTTCCTCATCCCCATAAAACACCTGCTCCAAGTCCAGAGGATCCCAGTCTCTCTGCCCACCACAAAAGGGATGAAAAGCCGGGTGTTGCCTGTACCCCACTTTCTTCCTCACTTCCTAGGCCCCTCCTGGGACTCTAAGGAAAGAAACAGAAAAGATAGGCCAGGTGGCCGCGAACAGGGCTGCAATGTTCATAGGCTCCGGGTGGACAAGGAGGGGATCAAGGTAGGAAGGCCAGCTGGGGCTCTAGCCAGCTGCTCACTCTTTGCTTCAATCCCATGATTCATCAAGCTTAGCCCTAAGTGCAAAGGCGCCCACAAGCCTGGGGCATACGATGACATCTGTGTTCCTCCCGAAGACAAATCCAGGGAGTGGGTAGGTCTGTGCAGGGGTGGCAGGGCTGTGGAAATGAGAAACCTCCCCGGCATACATGCCTTGAGAACTCTTTTAATCTTGTGCTTTCTTTAAATAAAACGGATTGCAGCTTTCCCCTTGATAGCACTAAGGCAAGCATAGCAGCGTGGGGGTGGGGGTGGAGGTGGGGGTGAGAGTGGGGGTGCAGGAGGGGGTCAGGGCATCACTGAAGCTCTTGGCTCTGGCTCCAGGTGTGTTTCCCAGAGAGGTAGCAAGGAGACAGTTCCTAGCTTCAAGCAGCTGGCCTCTCCCTGAGCTGACAGGACAGGTGCTAGGCATAGTCATGGGACCCCCTACGCCAGGGCTCCTTGCCTTGGTGACCTGCCTAGACAGGGTTTATCCTCTTAAGGGTGGTGGGTATCACCAGAATCTTAGTCAACGACCAGTGTTCACTTGCCCTTCTGTGTTCTCAGGGGCCCTTGGGCTGGTTCTGGCCTAGCTTCCCTGCTATAAAGTGACCCTTCAGCTGGTCCACTGTCCCTGAGTAAACTGCAGGCCCCATCCACACCCAGGACTACTCTGGCCTGCTTAGCCATAAGCAGCCCTGACTTTGGGTTCTGCTGGCCCTTCTACTCCAGGATCCTGTGCATCTGGGTACACCAGAACAGTCTTGCTATAGGGACCCAGGAGGCAGAGCTGGGCCGGGAACAACAATGTCCACCCCACCAGCTGCCCCAAATGGGGCAAGCACAGGGGAGTGTCAAGCGGGTTTAAAAAAAAAAAGAAAAGAAAGAAAGAAAGAAAGAAAGAAAGAAAGAAAGAAAAAAGCCAGGCTTGTCCAAGGCCATTCTGGTTAGGAGCGCACCCCAGGTGGTCCATTCCGTGGAATGGAGTGGCTGACAGGCAGGGCAGGGAGGGTGCAGATGTGGCAGTCACTGGTCCTTTCTGTCACCGAGGCCACTCTCAGCACGGAGCAGCTGGCTGCTGGTCTCATTGTAGGTGATCCAATGCTTCAAGTCTTCTGGCAGCTCAGGGGGTTCCACCTGCAGGGAGACAGGAAGCTGAGGCTCCAGAGAGCCAGCTGCTGCTCTGCATTGAGAGGCACAGAAAAGGGGCAGGCAGCCAGGCTGCTGCCCTCCCGCCTCTGGACCTCTGCTTTATTGCATACCCTGGTCTGTGACCTTGCAGAAACCTCACCCAAAGTATGACATCTGTCCAGGGCTTTCCCAATCCCTTTTAACCTATTTTCCCCTTCCTAGCTCTTTCTACCCCATCTACTTCTGCCAGGCCTTACCAGCAGGACCACGCTTGAAGTGTCTGTCTCTAGAACCAGGCAAAAGCCTGTGAGGTTGGCTGGGTGACAGGCCATGCAGGATGCAGGCATGGAGGTGCTGCCCCAGGAGCGTGCCAGACAAAGCAGCTGCCTGGCAGTCCTTGCAGATGGGTTCTGAGGCCTGAGGAGTGAGAGAAGAGGCTGGATAGATGCGCTCTTCTCACAGTGAGTGCTACACAGCAGCTAGGAACTGCTGGCCTATGGTCTGGGCCCTTTCTGAGCACAATTTACTGTCAAAGATACCTCATCCTGGCCCATGGCCCCAGAATAGTTCCTCAGCTTACAGAACCCTACCCCAGACTTGGCCGGTCTTGGACTATATCTGCCTCTGCCTGGGACCCAAGATATAGATAGGCCAGTAACCACGGAAACTCCCAGCCAGCCCGTGTCCTCCAGTTGAGCTGAGTTGCCAGGGTGTTTCAGTTCACCTCCTCCTCACTGTCATGCTGTGGCTGCACCTCCGGTCCCCTCATCTCTTACAGGCACTTTCCCAGCCAGTACCAACCAGCCCATAGGAGTTCATGACTGGATAAAGAGAGAAAACAAGGGAGAGCCTTGTCTGCCACCAACTGCTGTGAGGACTAGATGAATGGCCGCCCTCACTCTGAACCCGTGTTTCCCTTCAGACATAGCCCCTAAGCACTGATGAAAGGCCATTCCTATATTCTAGAGAAGGCACTTGTCTAAGACAGGTGGGAACAATAGGGTGGGGCATGCCCTGGTACTTTTCAGGAGCCTGCCTTGGCAACCATCACTACTCTGGCTGTCTCCAAGGTCACAGTTGCTATACTGCAGGAGCTATCTCTGCCACCGTGCTGGAGGAGTGGACCCCAGGGAGGGGCCTTGGGTCCCAGCAGACACAGGGTTCCCCTCCCTCCAACGTTGGAAAGACACAAGGCTTGTGGTCCCTTGAGGTCGTCCAACCACAGTCCTCATTGCTGCAAGCTGTGTCAAAGAGGGTCTCGGGTCCACTAGAATTCCCAGCACTGCTTCTAATTGACATCCTTTTATCCCATACTCAAAACCAAAGACCAGAGATGGTGACTCAGCAATGTAGAACACACAGAACTAGGACACAGACTCCTAACAGAGATAGCTGCTCTGAACATCTCAGTTCTAGAAGACAGGGAGAGAGGAGAAACTCTGTGGTTGGGAGTAGATTCAAAACTGGCTAGGCCTGAACTGTAAAGCCTTGGATCACAGATGCTGGGGACCCCAAGAAGGGCAACTCCATGGACACAGAAGAAAAGTGCAAACGTGTTCTGACATAAGAACAGCCCCAGAACTTCAAAGGTGTCTTCCTCTCGGGAGAGGGCTGGGAGCCAAACAGGGCCAGGGCATCGGGATGGGGATGCTCACCCTGCGCTTGCACAAGTGCTGTACTACTCGATCCGGCGAGGTGCCCAGCACATGCTGCCGGAAACGCAGCAAGGCGCACACGAAACCATCGCGTAGGCTGACAAAGCGCGCCTCCAGGTAGAAGGCGCGGTCGTCCCAGCCTAGCAGTCGCGTGTGTACCTCGAACGGCTCAAACAGGCGCAGCGAGCGGCGATAGCGCGCGCACGAGGCGGCCAGCACCGTGTGCGCGCTCAAGTCGCGCAGCGCCCCCAGCACACCGCAGCGGGTCAGGTGCGCGGCGCGCGCCACATCCGCCTCGCGCAGGTAGCGCGCATTGTTCATGTGCAGCAGCAGGTCCAGGTCCGACGGCAGCACCCGGCCGGCATACCGCTGCTCCGCCAACAAGTCGCGGACCCGCGGCTGAAGCAAGCGTGCACGCAGAACGGCACACGGCACGCGCACCAGGTACCAGCCATCCAGCAGCGCAAAGAAGGCGAGCCCCAGGGCTAGAGATGCCACCAACAGCTCCAGCATCTTGGCAGCGGGCGCCTGGTTCCCAGGAGCCCGCTGCGCAGGTGCCTGCTGCAGGCCGGCCCAGGAGCCTGGGAGCAACGAGGACCGGAGTGCACCACCTCTCCCAGCAGTCCGAGGGGGAGGCGAGCTTGAGGCAACGGCGCCGTGAGCTAGAGTCGCGCGCACAGATGCTGGTTCCCCCTGCGCGCGTCCTCGATGGTCTATCCTGGGTCCTCTGCGTGAGCGGCTTTCGCTTTTCTCGGGGCGGGGCAGGGCACGGCGGGACGCGCGGAGCAGTACAGCGCCATCTGGCTACCGCGTTCGGCCCTGCAGGTGATCCAGTAGCTCAGATGAGCATAGCCAAAGAATTCCAGAACTTCCGCGGAACAGCTGAGGAACTTTGCCAGGATGCTTTGAGCCTATCCAGACATCCCACTTCCGCAAGGCCCCTGGGGAGTTCTTAGTCTTTCAGTCCCAGTCTGCATCCACGTTACTTGTCCCCACCCGCCAAAAATCTTGATCATCCCAAGTGCACCCCAATAATCCTCACCCTTTACCTCTTTTAATGCAAGTAACATTCAAGATGGTGGAGAAGTTGGGCACGAAGAGGGTTGCGATGAATGTAATCGACATTATCAACCGGTCTAAAGGTGCAGGCCATGGTTTGTGGAATGTCAGTCCCTTTCCTTCAGAGTAGGGGTACGTCCCAAGGTTGGGCTGGCTCTCCGCTCCAGGACTCTGCAATAATCCTGTGTGCAAGTGACTGGTAGGGAACCCAGGGATGGATAGGCTGATGACCCTCCAGGTACCCTGGTCAGCATCATTCCACTGTCCCATGCTGGGCTGGGTGGGTCCGCTGTGGTCACTGACCAGAACACAGGTCTTTTTCCGTTTTGCTTCTAAAGCCAGGAACTATGGCAAAGTGAGTGCCTGGGGTCTTGGATAGTACGGAGAGACAGGGAATTCACTGCTTATCAGGGTAGCTCCAAAGCACTGGAAGAGCCTTGCTCACAAATTGGTTACACTTGTAACAACACTCACCTTGTCCTAGTCCGCACTCTAGCTTAGGGAGGGGCAGCTCCTCGGAAGGAAGAGACTAAGTAATGCTCACTAAGCCCATTGCTCAGAGAATGTGTTTTCTGTCACCTACTGTGTCCACCCTGTCTCTTGCCTCCAGGGTAGAGACCCGCCCACTGGTAGCCAGGCCTTTGAGACACGGAAGGATGTGAATGAGCACCCACCTCCATGGTCTCCTCTGTTCCTGTCACCGTGCTTCATTCCCAGCCTTTCTATTGGCTGCTCTCGGTGCCTCTACACACTGTTCACTTTGCTCTGGATCTCTTCTCCCGTACCCCAGCCTGGACAACATTGCCAGAGTCCTCCCGAAGGGACTTGGGCACACCTCGCTGAAGTTTCATGCATAAGTAATGCATGTCTGTCTGACAGCTGAACCCTGACTGCAGGGTCTGGTTGTCCTAACTGACCGCAGTGTCTGCAGAAGAAGGCAATACAGTGCCAAGGATTGCTCAATACGCCTCTTCCCCTGCCAGCAGGGGATGAACAGGAATGCTAGCTGCAGAAGCTTTGCTCAGGGACCTTTGGCTCTTTGAGGACTCCTGTGTCTGCCCTAGAGGCAGGTCAGCAATTCATTTTGGCTACGGGGAGAACACAGGCACAGGATGACAGTGCAGGTTCCAGTAGGATGATAGACCCTTGACCCGGCCCCTCCCAACTCTGGTCCCACCCCATCCTCCCATGACTCCGCCCCACTAGATGAGTGGTGCTATACTGGTGGCTGAAACTGTGAGGGAGTTAGAAACCCATTCTAGGACATAGGCTTGATCACGTCATCCAGGGGCCCCTTACTTTTCGGGGCACCTTCTGCTTTTTATTTCCCTCACCCTAACTCTAATAATTCATTGCAAGGAAGTCTCCAGGGTAGGGCATGAAGGCTCTTTGTCTCTCTGCCCCTGGGCACTCTTGACCTGCAGCACCTTGTGGGCACAAACCACAGGGAGAAAGAGACTTGGCTAAAGGGAAGCTGATGTGTGGCCTCTGGTGGGCTGAGTCTACCAAGGGAGGATGGCCTTCCGTGCGAGCCAGTTCTGACATCCTCTTTCCTTTGTTCTCCTAGCTCTTGTGTTAAGAAACTGAATACTCCCGTATTTCCCATATTTCTCTGAGCCTGCTGTCCTGCAGACGCCATGGTGGGGTGGGTCTGGGGTGAGCAGGAGTGCTAAGGAGAGCGCCACCAAGCTGCTGGATGTGGTATGCCAGGAGCAGCGCTTGGAACCAAGCAGGGTCCTGCAAACTGTGTCCTGTCGTCCATTATCTCCAGAAGGTTCCCTAGATGTACCACCAGAAGGACTACCCAGAGCACACCCCTCCCCACCATGGCTGCTGTTGGACCCAGGTCCTGCATCATGTTTCTAGTAGACGTGACATTCTCCTGGAAGACCCCTAGATCTTCAATGACCTCCTGAAGACACAGGGCCTCCCAGAGCCTGGACTCAGCCCCAGGCAAGCTAGGCTTGTTTGTGGGTGAGGAAGGAGGCAGCTTGTTGGGGAGGGCTGGAGGGAAAGAGGGAAGTTGACGCTCAGGGTCATCCAGATAACAGCCTAGGAAAACTGTACCACCCCTACATGTTCACTTTCCCCTAGGGTTGAGAGGGACGCCTCCTACTTGAGGTCATACACAAAGGCTGAGGACATCTGAGAGCCCTGGAGCCTCTGGCCAGGCTCACCTTCAGCATGACGGCTGTGCTACTGGCCAATGGGATCCTGCTACCACCACTGGACTCTGGAACTCAGGTTCTGACCTCTGGCTCAGTACATAACTGAGCCCTTCACTGATCCTCTGTCCTCATGCCTCTTCCTCTTGGGCACTCAAAGCCCAGTTTGTGCTGTTACTCACTGGTCAGGAATTTAAAGCTTTAAGTGCCTGTGATCCCCGAGAGAGGGGGTTAGAGGTCCTAGCGACTGCTCTCACCTGGAAAAAAACCACTGTACACTAGGCTGGAGGGAGGTGGGGAGAGACATCTTGACTTCCTCATGCTATCTCAACACTGATGGGGGCGGGGGTCAGCTGTAAAGATAGCTGTAAAGATACAGGTTCCCACTCAGGGTACAGACTATTTCCAGGTGTAATACAGGCTTCCTTCAAAAGGGTTTTCCCAGGGGTGGGAAGTGTGGGCATGTCCTCCTGTAGACAGTCCTTCCCAAGCTTCTAACTGCACGGACACAGACTCAGCAGAAAGAGTTCAGGAGCGTGGGCTGGTGGGGTGTGGGCTGGTGGGGCGTGCAGGGTGGGGTGGGGTAGCTGACTGCCTGCTCCGTTTAAGTTCATATTTCCTATGTGCTTGCCACATGCAACTAGTAAATCAAAGGGGTTTTGTTTCTTTGATTTTGTTTTGAGACAGGGTCTATGTAGCTCTGGCTGGCCTGGAACTCCTATGTAGACCAAGTTAGCCTCAAAAGCACAGAGGTTTGCCTGCCTCTGCCTCTCAAGTTCTGGGATTAAAGGCGAGCACCATCATGCCCAGCTAGACCAAACTTTTCTAGAGTAGATTCGCTGAGGCTGAAGGTTGCTGCAGAATGCTCTCTTTCCCAGGGGATCCTCTTATTCATGGAAGGTCTGGGCTCACCCTTACACAGAGAGGGCGGCAGAAGAAGCACCTGGGGCTCTGAGAAGCTTGCCAATGTGCCTGAGTCTGTACAGCAAGTGCTGGGTGGCTTGAGGTAGGCAGTCCTGCCTCCTGCCAGGTGCCACACCTGTGCTCCTACCAAGACCAGGGCTCTAACCCCTAAGGTCAGTGACATGTCCAGACCCCTATAGATACTTCCCAGGTGGGGACCAGACTCCTCATGGGCTGCTTAAGGACAGAGGCTCTCTTCACTTACCCAACAGGTATTTATTACAGGACTATTGCACCCCAGGGCTCTATAAACGTAGAGCATGTCCCCCACCAGGCATCATCTCCTAGGACTCCTGGTACCTCACACCCACCTCCCAGCTTCATTTCTGTTCAGTCCATCTCATCTCAGCCTTTATCAGGCCCTCCCCAGGTGCTGCTGTGCAGACTGGCTCAGGTCCTGGAGAGCAGGGTGACAAGGGAGTCCTGCAGCAGAAGCATCTGGTCAGAACTGGTAGGGCACGGTGCTGATGGGGTGGGGTGAGCAAAGCACTAGCTGTAGAAATAACAGCAGAGAGGAGAGAGGCCCCTGCTGGAGGTGTGTGTGTGAGTGTGTGTGTGTGTGTGTGTGTGTGTGTGAAGGCCAGCACTGTGTGGGAGTTAGGTGATTGTGTGTGGGGGGTGGGGGAGGAGTGCAGCTCATCCCCACACAGTAGGGCTATATAGTAGGGCTCTCCTAGAGCCTACAGATGGCTGGAGCCCCACAGCAGCAGGCTGCAGAGAACAGTCAGCAGCCCCAGGGTGGTGGGAGGCTTCAGGGTGTGGGCCCCGTTGACATTGCACAGGTCGGAGTAGCAGCACGTGATATTCTTCTTGCCCACATAGTAGTTCTCCGAGTCATCCTCACACTTTGAGCTGCAGCCCTTACTGATAAGTCTCACGAGTCCAATGGCCTCTGGGAAGATAGAGTGACCCTCGGGATTAAAGCCAGGTCTTGATAGTCACCTCTCTGCCTCTGGCTCAGGGCCCCTTCCCTAGCATGCTAAATTTATAGACCCACCCCCACGGAGACCAGAGGTGTTTGGTGAATGAGTGGGCAAGGTCTAGTTTCTTCGCTGTCAAGCTGGAGTGGGGAGGGAGGCTGCAGGGCAGGGCAGCAGGCTGTGAGGACAGTGGTGGGCGGCAGAGCACTCACGGACACGCGATGTAAAACAGCTGGTCTGGTCCTGGCTGCAGTTCTGTACATTCAGGCAGTCTCTGTTGCTCACCTGAGCAGTGCATGAATAGCACTGCAGAGCGGCACCTGTGGGTGAGGCCGGAGGGCTGAGGCTCAGAGGCTGGCCGGCTGCACCTCAAGAGACACATACCAGGCCTTCCCAACCCCCGACACAGAGTGGAGAGAAACAGTTCAGTCCCCTCCAGACTGCTGAAGCATAAAGGAGACAGAAGTCCAAAAATCGTCTGATACACTTTACAAAGGCTCTGTGCCAGCCTACCCTGCTTTGGTCACCCAAAACCCACACTTTCCTCTGTTATTCACTATTCAGGAATTCAGAGCTTTATTATGTACCTGTGATCCCTGAGAGGGGCAAGAGGCCTAGTGACTGGTCACACCTGGAGAAAGCCCCACTGGGCACTAGGCTGGAGGGACGTACGACTTCCTCATGCTACTAGGCTCTGAAGTCCACCTGTCTGTCCTCTGAGCCCAGCTTGCCTCTCAGCCCTCCGATGCCTCCACTATACTGTGTGGCAATGGTAGGGCCCCTGAGGAAGTCCTCTCTGTGCTTAGGGCAAGTAGCTCCAGATGTCAGGGCATGTGGGTTACCTTCTCTTTTCAAAAGATGGCAAACCTGGCGTTAAAGTCACCTCTGTAGGAATAGGTGCTTAACATCTGACTTCACTGGCTACAAGCTTTGTCCTGCTTAGGTCTCCAGTGGCCTTGGGGACATTCTTTTTTTTTTTTTTCCTTGTCTGAAACAGGAAGCTGAGGCTCTAGGAGTATAGTGACCTTTCTGGGATCACTTGATCCAGCACACTAGATGATCACAGACTGCCTATCCTAGTAGACTCTCACACTGTAGGCAAAAGTAGCCAGGGATGGACCAGTGAGTCCCCTTTCAAAACATCCTGAGGACCCTGTCCTGGTACGTTTCTCCCCCTCCCTCTGTGACACTTCTTGGCTTAAGACGTTTGACTCCTGGGCCTCCATGACTAAGGCCCTATAGCCTTGTGTGTCTGTCTCTCGGTAGCCTTTCCTTCCAGAAGCCCTTCAGTCCCTCCTAGCCTGCCTCTCACAGGACACTAGTAAGAGTTCTTACCACAAAACGGCTTTGGCTTCCTCAGTCTTCTCTCTCCCCTTCCCTTCTCCTAATCCATCTACCCTTTGACATTTCTCCATCACTCCTTTCCGAGCCCTGCCCTGTGGCTGTCTGAAGCTTACCTGGATGCAGGGCTAAGTAGGTGGCCAACAGGAGAAAGAGGACAGTCTTCATGGTTGCAGTGAGCACCTGGGAGTGTGCCTCCAGAGGCTTTATATGGTCTCAGCTGGCAGGGGAGGCTCTGCTATCCACAGTCAACAGTGACAAGTCCCCTGGAGCCAGTGAAAGCCCAAGGCCCAGCCCATTCCAATCTGATCTCTCACACCACCCCTCCCACTGCCTTCGCAGTCCTTTCTGGCTCTGGAGGGCACTGCCTTTCCAGGGTGGGGCCGCAGTCTTTGCTAGAAGCCCTTTCTTAGGCACCCACAGAACAAGGGCTGGAAGTCCTAAGGCACCCACCACTGCCCCTGCCCTGCTCAGGGAAGCGAGGCCAGTTCTGAAACATTACTTTGAGCTTCTCCATTCCCCTAACCATTTGGCCAAGGACAACGGTGCAACCTTAGGGCCCCAGTGCTCCGCATCAAAGCAGTGTCGCCTTTATTGCCTTTCTGGGGCCTGTGCCCCCTGAGGAGACAGGCCTGAATTGAAAGGCAGCAGACAACAGTAGCAGCTGACTGCTGCAAATGACAATGACCGGCTGCTAGAAGTTGCCACTAAATAGGGGCTCTTCTGAGGTCATCTTTCTTAGATATGGGTCCTAACATAAGTTCATGATTAATCCTCTCTAGCCCTCCCACCCCACCTCCTCCCCCTCCCCCACCCCGCTCGCTTGGAACTTTAGCTACAAGAAGAGAGTCGGGAAACAGGGCTTCCATGAGCTTTCCCAAGGGAAAAAAGGAGTAGGGAGGCAGGCTACCACTGGATATGTTCTGCTCTCCCCAGACTCACTTTTGGCTTACCAGAACAATGTGGGGAGAGATAGAGGTCAGGCCATCTCTCCCTGTGGCAGCCTCACTGATGGGTTGTAGTGGCAGCAGTTGCCTCTCTGTTAGCAGTGGCCACAGATCTTATTGCCTGGTCTTCCCCCAGGCCACTCTGATCACAGATCTCAGTGTTCAGTGCTTCCTGTTGCTCTTGGCTTTGGGGTGATTCGTGGTCTCTGTTTTTTTTTTTTCTTTATCTCACCTGAGGCTCACCTACATTCCCCATCTTTCTGCCAGGCTCGCTTGGTGACACTGTTGGGCACGCTATTGTGCTGGCAAGGTGCCATCGGTTAGAAATGCCAGTCACGGTCACCATCTACATGCCCACAACCAGGGACGGTGTCCTGCTCTCTGATGATCTCTCATCCTTGATGATAGATCCCTGATTACACCTTCACCCTAAAGGTTCCTGGCATTTAAGACAGAGGAGAGTGCAAAGTATTCCCCTCTAGCCTCAGGGAACCATCCCAAGCCCCCACGTGCCTGGACCATATGCTGTAACCATAGACTAGCCCGTGGGCTCTACTTCCAGCCCCAGTCCCTCTGTTGTCTCCCTTGCCTGACTCTCTAGCATTCCGGGATGGCCCCCTTTCACTGGAAATTCACTCCTTGGGCAGTAAAGAGCCTGTGGCTCAGAGAGAGAGAGGCAAGATCCTGCTCAAGGTCACACAGGGTGAGGGTATCCACCCCAGGATGCTTTCCTTCTGTCTGTCTAGAACTTTCACTTGGAACATCCCCTCCTGCCACAGGTCTGCCAACCCAGGGAATGCTATAAGTGCCCACAGCTTGGTTGTGTCCTTGTATGGCTGTCTGCTCCCACCCACTGGGATGGCTGCCCCTGGAGACTTTGCTTATCTATCTCAGTACTTGGAGGCACGGGCACCCAGCACCAGTTAGAACAGTCATTCCCCAAATATTTACAGGTGTGTAAATGTTTGTCGATCGTGTTTGATATGAAATGAATACTCTAAGGGTGGTGGCTCTTGAATGGAGCAAGCCTTCTCTCTTCATATGAGTGTCTGGAGACCGCTCTGATTGTCTCAGCCCAGGGGCACTGGATGGCTCTAGTAGGCGCAGGTCAAGATCTGCCTAACACCTGCAGTGCCAGCACCTTGCACAACCACTGAGCTCCAAACACCAGTGGTGCCCAGAGTGGGAGGTCTGGCCAAAGGGCGGCCTAGTGACTGCACCTCAAATCCTAAAGACTGTGGCTACGACTTTTGTCCAGTTCCACCCCTTACCACAGGCCTAACTCTGACCTCAGCCCAACACTGAACACTCATTCTGGTGACCCTGGTCCCCAAATAGGACAATACTGTGGTCACACCCTGAGGCCTGGCCATGACCATATATTAGCCTGATCACAATCCTATGCTGAGTCCTGACCTTGGCCACACTCAGAGTCTTGACCCTGTAATATGGATCCTCTGCTAGTTCACTTCCTGAAAGGGCCTATCACAAAGGGCATGCTCCCTCCAGGAGTGAATGTGATCTGGGTGGGACCTTGCCATGACTCACCCTTAGCCTGGCTCCACTGCCTGAGTCTCTAGTTTTTCTTGTTCTCTCTTGTCCTCCACTTCCCTCCACAGCCCACCATACTCCCTGGAGAGCCTGCCCGTTCACATAGCAAAGAAGCCACTGTTCCTTGGGTGTGGATTCTCAAAACTATGCCTTTCCATCAGTCCTCTACCTCTTCTTAGGGGGGTTATCACGGGGTTCCCCTATGTAGATACACATCACAGTTGGGTGCAATTGTAATTTTACACAAAGGTGGCCTTTAAAAGTAAAGTCAGCACATGGAATGCAAAAACTACAACCGGTTTCTGTTTATGTCACCATAGGCCTTTGGAAACATGGTCCCTCAGGTCAGGGATACGACACATTTGGAGCCAGGCTTCCAGGAAGCTGAGTATCCTCTTCCACTAAGGTCCCCATGTTGGGTCCTGGAAGTTAAAGCCACTCCTTGCAAGCTCTGTGTGTGATAAGGAAATCTGTGTCACATGAGAGAGTGTGGGTATAGGTCAAATGTACACTACGTGTGTACTGTGTACACATGTGTACACATGCTGGGTCCCTAGGGTAACCCCTTGGACAGTGGACTGAAGGCCTGAGGCTCCACAGGCCCTGCTGAATCCTGGGGCATGTCCCAGTTTTAATCTCTATGGTCCCTGCTTACCCAGAAGTGATTTTTCCTCAGCACTGTTCATGGCTCTGTCTGCAGCACCCACTTCCCACAGGTTCCCAACTGTCACCAGCTAGTCTTCTGCCTTAAGTCTCTCAGAGCTGTCCCTGCATTTCCCTGTTTTTCTTCACATGCCCACTCCTCCTTGGAGACAAGCCAGTGAGATAGAGAGGCCTAAGAAATCTTGAAAGGAGGAAGGGGAGGTTGGCAATTTCTCCAGCGGAGCAATGGGCACCTCTGTGTCCAGGCGTCCAACAGGCAAAGGCTTGCAGGACGGAGGGAACAACTATGCAGGGATGACTTAGGGGCTTGGAAGATGGCGAGGTACGCAAGACCACTGGTAGATAAGTGATCTGTCCAGACTGGCTGTCTCCAAGGCCACTTTAGGTAAGTTGGGAGGGCAAGTCTGGCTGGTGAGGCTGCACTGGAACAGTCTCAAGAGCTTAACCCCATGGAATGGTGGGAGGCAGTAGAGAGGAGCTTTTAGTACCAAGGAGTCCCCAGTCTTCCTCCCTTTCTGACCCCTTACCCACTGCTAGAGTGCACTCAGTCCTTGAGATAAGACCAATGGCTCTGGAGTCATGTGCCAAGCTTCAGTTCCATGCCAAGCCCTCCTCCTGGAGAAGTGTGTGATCCCATGTTCACAAGGTGGCAGGAGAGAGCTACATGCAGAGACAGAGCCAGCCATCCCAGGGCAGTCCAGAAAACGTGACAAATACTTCCAAGGGTTCTAGATTTCAGTCACATCATATGCCTGGCATCCTCTGTGACTCAGTTTCCTCCCATGTCCCATACACTTTTAGCTCAGTCCTGCAGTTAATTCACTACCCACAGCCATGTGCTACGAGACACTGGCTGCTCCTAGCCACTGTTTTGGCTCACAACGCAGCCGCAGTAGTTGGCAATGACGTAAGGTCAGAACAACAGGAACAAGGACTGGGTAACAGCCAGGTCAGAGGTCAGGCGGGTGTAGGGAAGGAGGAAATCCAAAAAACAGATTCTGGGGGCAGGGCCAATCAGATGTGGTGGAATGGGTGTGGGGCGAGAGGAAGAGTTCAGGGTCAGTGGGAAGGCAGATCTGCCAGGAAACACCATGGGTAGAACCAGGCTGGTCAACAGGCTCCCATCTCCATGTCAGAAACAGTGGCCAAGGTGCATGTGGATAGCTATGTCCAGGTCCTGGGTAAAAGACGGAAGTTTAGACGTCAGGGAAGAGATTCTAGAAGGAGACATGGATTGGGAGCCACCCAGCCTTCCTTAGTATTATTAGAACTTATGTACTGGAGATCCCTGGGAAGTGTGAATTTACAAGGATTTAACAAGAGAGGTGGAGAACAGGCAGAAGGGTCCTGGGTATTCAGGCAAGGGTGTGAATTAAGGAGAAACAAGTCTCCACGATCTGTGTTTCTATGGAGCTGTGACTAATTTCCCCAGCGTGAAGCCCCAAAACAACATAATTCTGTTTTCTCACACTTTAGCGGGCCAGGGTACTGAGATCAGGGTGCCACCAGGTTTGTATTCCGAAGAGAGAATGTTTCCTGGCTTTCTGGAGCTCCTGTAAACCACTTGCACTTCTTGAATGGTAGCCTTCCTCTATCTTCAAAGTACAGGGCCCAGGCTCTGTTGTCAGTTCAGTTTTCATTAGAGTGTCTTCTCTCATTTGATCCTTTTAACAATGAACCATTGTGCTTACATGAGGCCCGGCAGACAATCAGAATAAACCTCACACTTCGACGACTTTCATTTAGTCATACCTGCCAAGTTCCTTTCAGCACTTGTACTCACAGGTTCAGGGAACTAGAGATTGGGCACCCTCATGGGCCACCACACAACTCATCGCAGCACACTTTCCAGTCTCCAGCAATTCAGGTATGTCCCACATACAAAATGGTTCATCTCAAGGTCTCTCAAAGCCTCTACACTATATACTACGGTCCAAATCTCATCATCAAAATCGTCTAAATTGGGCACGTTTTTAAATCTAGCTAAAGGAAACGTTCACTAGGATGGAAGGGGGTCCTGGCAACCGGCGGGCCTTGGGTACCTCCCACCGCAAGATGGCGTTTGACCCAGCCTCCCGTCCATGCTCGCCCGGCCATGGCTCCCAGAACCGGACGCTCGGATCGGGGCTTCCGTTCCTCAGGAAACCGAGGCTTTCTGTGGCCTTCGCTGTTCTACCGGTCGGTGAGCTGCCGGGCCGGGGCCGCTTCCTTGCTTGGTCGCCTCGTAGCGACCTAGACACCACCGAGACCGAAGCCTCCCGGTGGTCTAGAGCGTCCCCGGAAGTGGGTCGGGGAAGGTCGCGAGGAGCGGACCGGTGGAGAGCTGCTTGGCTGGCATTTCCGGCCGGTAGCGGCGGCACGGGGTCCACAGGTGAGTGGGGCCGGGCCGTGCAGGGTTGGGACCGCCTCCGCGAACTGACTGGAGGCCCAGCCTTCGCTCCTGCCCCAGAGCTGGACGAGCGTCGTCGTTTCTGCGCCCGGGAATCCAGTCGCACTCGGGATTCAGGAATCCCTTCTCAGGTCCCCTCGGCTCCCAGGCGCTTCACCAGTATGCAGACCGGACAAGCTCGGTTGTTTCTGGCCCTCCCAGGACCCTCCATTCGTTTCTTGCTTGTGTTTTGAGGGTCCCCCCAACCCCCATTTGTAGTCTAGGCTGCTGTTGGGTTGCTGATTGTTTCTTATATCCATTCACCAGACGCCTCAGGACTTACAGGAAGAAATTTGCCTCTTCCCTTAAGAGCTTCTCCCAGCACAAAAGCTCCTGTTCAAGTGGTCCTTGGTTATCAGTGTGGAGGTCCCAAGATTAGAAGCCTCCTGGATCGCCGCAGTCACGTTTAGGAGGTTCTAAGAATGGTTCCAAATTCAAATGTCCTCTTTCTCTTTTCTCCCTTAGTAGCACGTACTGGGTAGCCCAGGCTGGCCCTGTCCTCAAAGCAGTTCTGCCTCAGTCTCCCAAGTGCTAAGATGGTAGGCTTGGACCACTACATTGAGCTTGGCAAACTTTTCATTTCTGAAGTGGGTGTATTCAGTCACTAAACCACCTTCAACACAGCTGCAGGACAGGCACCAAGCCATCATGATCCTGGAAGCATCTTCCCCTCAAGTTACTGCAGAATTTGTCAGCTGCCTGGGTGTGTTGTTAAACATCCACTTGATAGTAGACTCTGGCCCCGATTTCCCTCTGTTCCACAGTGAGATGCCCACAATAAATGCCGTGTGCACATTACCCACGATATGACCAGAATGAGAGACCCTTGGAGACCAGCACCAAGTTCTACAGACCAGGAGGCTTACTTAAGGGAATAGGGTTACATAGCTGGCTGATGGCAAGCTGTATTCCCTGTCTACCTTTGGAACTCTTGCACATCTAAATAAATGTTTCATGTCTCTTATATTGTCTCAGGTGCACTTTTGTGCTGCTTATGGAAGTAACTCCGTGGCCTTTCGGCTTATCAAATGCTTGACTGGAAGGAGCATTCCAGATAAGGTTTACTGGGAAAGAGAAGGCATTAGGAATGCATTGTGACTCTTAACCTTCCTGAATAGTTATGAAGGGTCCTGGTGCTGCTTACTCTGATCTGCAAGGAAGGGCTGGTTAACAGACTGGCTAGCACACCCCAGGCCAAATGGCACTGATATTTGAGATGATGCTTTCCAGTGATTCTAAGCATATCTTGAGTGCTCTTAGTAACAATTGTCTTTCTCCTCTGTTTTCCAGTTCCTGGATTGTATGGATAAGACAACGTTGTGAATCCTTGTGAAAAGTATTCCCAGTTCAGGCCGTCAGATCTTCATGAACCTGAAACCTGGACTCAGTTGCAGGGGAAAACTGCCACATTGTGACATCTGTGTGGAGGCCCTAGGCTCCTGGTGCATCTCAGCAGTCCAGGGTAGCTCACCCTGTCACCTCCCCTGAAGAGAACAGCAGTTGACTTTACTACAAGGATCTGAGGCCTAAGTGTGCTGGAGTCCCAATACTAAAGGGAAACTGAAGAGACCGCTGTAGACAGAGTGTGGAGCCGAGAATGAACTTGGTTTGAGCCTGGGATCAGTTTCGTGGGTAGGCAGAGAAGAGCAGGAGAGACTGTGACCCCAAGAACCAGAGAGACACATAGCCAAGTAAGGACAGGTGCAGCCTGGCTTGGGCTACTTCCTCATGGCCTCCAAGCAGGCTGCAGCCAAGGGCAAGGGGGAGAAACGGAAGCGAGTGGTGCTGACCCTGAAGGAAAAGATTGACATCTGCACTCGTCTGGAGCGTGGGGAGAGTAGGAAGGCACTGATGCAGGAGTACAATGTGGGCATGTCCACTCTGTATGACATCAAAGCCCACAAGGCCCAGCTGCTCAGGTTCTTCGCCAGCTCAGATTCTCGCCAGGCGCTGGAACAGCGGCGTACCCTGCATACCCCGAAGCTGGAGCATCTGGACCGGGTGCTCTATGAATGGTTCCTGGTAAAGCGTGCTGAGGGTATCCCTGTGTCTGGCCCCATGCTCATCGAAAAGGCCAAGGACTTCTACAAGCAGATGCGGCTGACAGAGCCCTGTGTGTTCTCTGGAGGGTGGCTTTGGCGCTTCAAAGCCAGGCATGGGATTAAAAAGCTAGATGCCTCCAGTGAGAAGCAGGTGGCTGACCACCAAGCTGCTGAGCAGTTCTGTGGCTTTTTCAGGAGCCTCGCAGCTGAGCATGGGCTGTCTCCTGAGCAGGTGTACAGTGCTGATGAGACTGGTCTTGTCTGGCGGTGCTTGCCAAATTCTAGCCCGGATGATGGGACTGTGCCCCACTTCAAACAGGGCAAGGACAGGCTGACTGTCTTAATGTGCGCCAATGCCACAGGCTCACACAGAATCAAGCCTTTGGCCATTGGGAAGGGTGGCGGCCCCAGGGCCTTCAGAGGCATCCAGCACCTGCCTATTGCTTACAAGGCCCAGGGTAATGCCTGGGTAGACAAAGAGATTTTCTCAGACTGGTTCCATCATATATTTGTCCCTTCAGTGAGAGACCACTTTAGAGCCATAGGCTTACCGGAAGACAGCAAGGCAATTCTCTTGCTGGACCATTCCCGGGCCCACCCACAGGAGTCTGAGCTGGTGTCAGAGAACGTCTTCACTATCTTCCTGCCCTCCAGTGTGACCTCCTTACTACAGCCCACAGAGCAAGGCATTCGCAGAGCCTTCATGAGGCTCTTTATTAACCCTCCTGTGGCCTTACAGGGCTTCCCCACCCGCCATAACATAAATGATGCCATAGTCCACGTGGCCTGTGCCTGGAATGCCGTGCCTAGCCAGGTCTTCAGGCGGGCCTGGAGGAAACTGTGGCCAACTGTCACATTCACTGAAGGCTCCTCTGAGGAGGAGGCAGAGTGCTGTACCGTCAAACCTCACAAGACTTTCGCACACATCCTTGAGCTTGTAAAAGAAGGGCCCTCCTCTTCTGGCAGCTGGCTTCAGGACAGCAGGGTTGAAGAGCGAGTTCTGGTAGGGAGGGACATAGATGAGGCCCCCGCTGTTGTGGCACCGTCCCAGGTCACTGGGTGTGCAGAAAAGTCAGAGAAAGATGCTGGTGAGGATGAGGAGGCAGCCTGGGAGCAAGCAGCCACATCCTTTGAGGCACTTGTGCGCTTTGCAGAGCAGCAGCCGTGTTTCAGCGTGCAAGAGGTGGGGCAGCTGCAGGCACTGCACACAGTGTTCAGGAGACGGCAGCAGCTGAGGCAGCCCTGTGTGGCTCTCAGGGCTGTGATCAAACTCGAGGCCCTTCAGGAGCACCCTGGTGTGTGCATGGCCACAACCCACTCTGCCTTGCCTTGCTCATCCACAGCAGGTGACAACTAAAGTACCTGTCCGTGCCTGCTGACCCTCTGCAGCTCTGCTCTGTGGCATGTGTAGCTGTAGTCGGGCTTAGTCTGCCTGCAAGGGAGGAGAGCGTACTGAGATGAGCGAGAGAGCAAGCAGACTCGGGCCCCAGGAGCATGGCTCCTGTCAAGGTTGCTCCTTGTTTACAGAGGATTCCATTTGTTCTGGCTCGTGGTTTACTGTATCTCCTAGCACAGATAATGTATAATTTGAATGGCAGGAGACCTGGTGCCCTCTTTCTCAGGAGCCTCCCCTAGCTGCAGCTGGGTCTAGTGGGCCAGTTCTGTGTCTGGTGTTGGAAAACTGAGCCACGTTATCAGGTTGAAGTGCCTTGAGGGGTGCACCTCCAGCCCTCAGGAGGCTCGTTCTCCTCAACTGGTGGACCCCAAGCCTGGTCCTGAGGGCACTGGCTTCAGCGTCTGACCTCAGTGTTCACATCCCCCACTGCTAGTTGTAAAGGTACCATGCCATCTTCTTGGTCTGCACCCACCTCAGCCATCGACAAACAAATTCAACAGCAGGCTCTGTAGTGTCCCTGTCAACAGCAGATCCTACCCATGGGGTTCAGGTCTCACAAAGATGCTGTGTGCTATTTTCAGCATTGCTGAGGCCAACATGTGCCCAGAAGTCTGTGCTGCCCAGAACTTCAAAGTAACAGCCTTTATGTGAACAGTTTGTAAAGTCACAGAACAGAATAGCACTTGGTGGCTTGGAGTTCAACAGGGGGTAGGTGGTCTAGCAGTACTCCAATGGCATATGAGTCTGCCCTGGTTGGTTCCATGGAGACCAGCTGTCAGAGGACATGACTGTTTTCCTGACATTGGAGCTGCTGTGCCTGTGACTCCCAGTGTCCTTGTCTGCAGCGGTTAGCTCTCTGTTCTTTCACCGTGGCTTTGTCCTTGACCTTCACTCCCTCTGGGATTTCTGTGGCTGTATTACCACAGTTTTCATTCCAGTGGTCGACAGCTGCTACACCAAGAAACTTTTGTTGGAACCTGTGAGAGCCAGAGGGGTTTGGGGAATGTTGGTTTGTATTTCTGTATCTGTCCAAACACTGAGGATGGTCATTGCAGACAGCTCTAGTAGTGGATGAGTGTTGTCTTGCTTCACCTGCATGTGTGAATATTATAACGAGGTTGTTTTCAGAAGTCTTGGTTGTGATTCTTTGGTTCCTGTTGACCAGGATCATGCTTCTGTCACACCATTTTTTCTGTGTGTCTGGGTGACATTCGCATACTCATGTGCTGTATGGTTTCTGGTTCATACAGGGAACTGTTGTGTAACTGTTGCAGCTACTTAAGCTGCTGCAGGTCAAAGATGAGAAGTCACACTTGCCTTAGCATCAGATGATGGGCATGTGAACTGGAGAGGCCCCACTGTAAGAGATGGGGCGAGGCTGGAGGGAGCTCCTGGGTCCATAAGGTTTGTGCCCATCAGACCACATTCTAGGACCAGTACTGGCTGACCTTGAGGACCTGCTCCTGGTATTGCCACCTACTAGATAAGTGGTGTCCCCAGAGCACCTTCCAGTACAACAGCCCCCTTTGTCTTCATCCCTGTGTCCCAGGGGAGAGTTCCTTTTGTCCAGTAGTCACTGAGGCCCTCAGAAAGCCCTAAACTCTCCAGGGCAGAAAATTCTCCCTATAAACTGTCTGCTTCGCCATCATGCCTCAGACACCTGTGTAGCCCAGGCTGGCCTAGAACTGGCAGTCCTGCTTCAGCCTCGTGTGTATTAGCATCATCCACATGCTGCCATGCCTGGCTCGTTCTTGCTTCCTACCACAGGCCAGGCTGTTGTTCCATTGGTAGACAGATCTTGGGTGCTGGAGTGTCACAGTTCCCTGGCTGCTCCTTTGCCACCAGCAGTGCCTTCTCTCTGTAAGTTTGTCAGGAAGCCTTTCCCATCACCTCTTACTTCCTGGAGGGAGGCTAATGTGTCAGTTCTGAGGGCAAGTAGAAGAAGACTGCTCCTTCACCGCCTCTAGGTGTGCACAAGGAGCTCCTATCCATAATGCCTTGTCCAGTGAGATGCAGATGTTACTTCCGGGTTGTGTAGTTTCCTCTGCCAGGGCACGGTTACCTGAGCCCTTTGTGGCCCTTTGCAGGTGTCCAGGAAGATCATCCTGCTGGCATCTGATTGGAGAAGGTTGTCCCCTGCTTATGAGGGCCTGGGGTAGGACTATCCCCCTTCACCAGTACTTGCTGCTTGGTGGAAGAGCAGAAGCGTCCCGTCACAGCCCTGTGTTGTCTCCACAGAAGTACATCCACAGCAAGACAAGAAGCCACAGCCTTTGTCCTGTGGGTGGAGGGTGGGCAACTTGGTGGGTGAATGGGTAGATGAGGGGGCTACTCTGCTCAGTTAACCAGATGGAAGTCAACTCAGGCTCCCCATTACCAGACATACTGGACCTGGGTACCATGAGAAACCCGGTGAGTCCTGGGAGAGGAACCTGGATGGGGCTGTGATGGCCAATGTCACCTTCAGTAATATTGGGGCTGAGATTATCTAGAAGAGAACCCAGAGGGAAGATCCAAGTCTGGGTACTGGAGCTGGATCCATCCTCTTGTGAGCCTGGCCCTTAGTGATAGGACACCCTGAGCTTGGTGAGGTGGTAGCAGTGACGTGTGGGATGGTGGGGCTGTCGCTGTGAAGTAGACTGCCATTGGTCCTGGCTCCAGCTCCATCATTTACATGATGGTCCTTTGCCTGTTTGTTCTTGCCTGCCACCAGCCTCACCACCAGAGCATTCCTTGCATCCCCAACTAGTGTCATGCTGTCCTTGATCACGGGACAGCAGGTTTTTAAAGAGTTTGGGTCTCCCTTTTGAGTGACAGGGCAAGCTGCAGACTGGCTAAATATAAGGAATTAATGAGAGATTCTTTATGGTTCCAAAGATGTAACCCCCAGTTCTTACCCCTTAACGTGTTTAATAGCTGAGAGGCTTAGGCTCCAAGGAAGGGAGGTAAATTAGGGTGTGGTACCTCTTAGGGGGAGCATCCTTAGATGCTGTGGGAGCTTTCCTTTGATAGGGATAAGGGATATGCCAGGGTCCTCAGGCCTCTTAGGGATGCTGAACCCTCTGGATGGGGTTGATAGAGCTCCCTATGTAGGACTCCTTGGCCAGGGTTGTCCTCCCATTAAGTGCCCAGGCTCCTGTCCAGCACCCTGTTTTCCTAATGTCCTTACATCAGTGAGATCACAGCCTCAGCCTTCAGCACCATCCTGCCTCTGCACCCTTGTCCCAGCACCAGCCCATGGAAGAACTTGCCCAGCTGAAGAGAGCTGCCCCTGAGAGATGGAGAGTTTTGTGCACAACACAACTCACAAAGACAGGAGGTAGAAAAGACAAAAGTGGCAGCTAAATACATGAATACAAGTCTTTCTGTGGAACTCAGTAGAAACATCACCCCTACTGTGTCCCCTACTGCCATCTCTAGTGGTAGGAAATTCACTGTGTGCTCCTCAGCCAGTACAACCCTCACACCTATGTTCCTTATAATCTGTGAATCAGGGCTGGCTGCTACCCAGATTGCTGAATTAACTCTGTCCTATAACTGGAGACAGGCATGTGCCCTATAGTCTGGGCTTCCTGTGAAGCAGGCCACAGTGAAGCTTAGGGATTCTGGGCTGTGGTGTCCTGAAGAAGGAAAGATTCTGGGAAGGTTGGAGGAGCATCAGACCAGCCCCCATGGGTACCTCAAATGGGTAGAGAAGCAATGTGGAGCAGGACAGACACTAGGGGGCCCTCTCGCTGCATGTTACCTCTACAGACATGCTGCCAGAAAGTTTGTTCCCTGCGCTGAGGGCAGAGACTTGTGATATGAGAGGGAACCCTTGCTCACTCCTGTGAACCTCCCACCCACAAGGTCATGTACACAGATGTGCTAAGAGAGTCTTGGGACAGACCCATCTGTAGCCCTGACTTTCTCCAACAGGAACACCCCACATCCTTCCACGGTCCTGTAAGGCTGAAGACTGCACAAACTCCCATGGCTTCTATCTCTGCTTTAGTAACAACTATATATGGAAACCTGAGCATGCCAGAGACTCCCTGAAGCCTGAGCGTTCTGCCATCAGCCACCTGCCTGTCTCCCTTCCAAGGAAATACTGCCCTGGTGTGTATTTAGGAAGCACTCGTGGCTAAAGGGACCCACAGCTCGTTGGGGCCTGTTTTCTATAGACTTTGCTTTGGCTGCCTGGTCCCTATATACTATATCAGCTCTGTGTCAGGCTCCACAGTGGTATCTTGGCCACTATGCCATCCAACCACAAGGTCACACTCTGCTAAGCAGCTTCTCTCATGGTGGGGAAGGCAGGCCCTCAGCTGCTGTTCTGGTCAAGGGCTTCTGAGCCTTTCTTACTAATTGGATTTTATTTGCTGACATTAAGTGGTACTATGGGCTGACAGGCTTAACTTCTTACTTGATAAATGGAATCAGAATGTCACATTGTGAGTCCTTTAAAAGCTTTATAAAGCTTTTTATGCCTGTTACCATGCTCAGCATCTAACCCTGTGTTAACCTCTGAAGACTTCCAGTGTCCTCTCTGACCTCCTCTCTCAGTGACCTGACAACAGCCACACCTTCCAGACCTCATCTGAGGCTTTCTCACCCCATTTCTTACGAGCCTGGATAGGGCTGGTACTGATGTTGCTGCAATGAGGTTGTGGGCCATTCCCATATTGAATCCTGAAGGATCTGACAGGAAAGTGTGTAGGGTCGTTGTCTATGAGGCATCTCAGAAAGGCATGCTTCCCAGGGCATAAAGAGGAGTAGAGGCTGATAGGACCTGGCAGGTGGGAAGCTGTTGTTTAATGAAGCCCGAAGTTCTGTTTTGGAAATATGTAGTGATGGCCAAACAACTGTGAATGCAGTGATGGCTGAAATGGTGCCTCATGGTATATGTGGCTTAGTCAGCTAGACCCAAGGAGGAAGTGTTCACTCTGAAGTCTGGGATGGGGACACCAGGAGCCCCAGAATATCAGGAAGCCTACAGGGATCAAAGAGGAGCCAGAATCACCTATGGGAGTTGAAACCACTGCCTGAGAAATCACACAAGGTGGAGTGGGATGCCCCGGCCCGCAGGGATTTGACGAGACCTTAGGGAAGGGATGAAAGAATGAAGGGACAAGAGACACAAGGAATGAGAGCAAGTCTGGGGTTCTGATCAAGCTCTGAAACTTTAATTTCAGGTGCAGGTTATAAAGACACAGCAAACCGGGAAGTTTGGGTGAGGGTCATTGCTTAGGGCTATCTCACTATTGAATGCTTATTACCCTAGACCATCCCACTGTCACATCCTTATTGCCCTAGACCATCCCACTGTCAGTAACTACCCCATTGTCATAACCGGCTCCCAGGAAATGCCAGACGTTCTTTAAGTTCCTGGGGCCTGAGACCCGTGAACCTCCTTTCTTAACCTTGCACTGACTAGGCTTTCAAGAACAGCAGGTAACTTCCTGGGTTCTCTCAGAACAGCAGCTAGTTTCCTGGGTTTGGCTCCCGACAGAGGGAGGGAAGAAATGCCTGCCTGTGCTTCTGCCCCTCACGTCCTGTCTCCCAATAGCTGTGTTCTTTGCCAAAGCTTATGAGAAGTCAGCAAAGCAGGTTGGGAAAGGAGCATGAAGAAATAAGGCCAAGGGGAGGGAGCACTGAACATCATTAAAGTCACATCATAAGCAAAGGCTGGGTGCACGTGTGGCTGCCAATGGCTCCAGCACCAGAGGTGTCCGGCTTTGTTTGTTTCCTTGAATTTACGGAGTATCCACTACAGTTAAGGCCCTGGAGATACCATTGTATGTACATAAGAACATCCATTATGGCCTGGGTACCAAGTCAGAAAGCAACATGAAGAGAGAGGCCTTGATCCCTTGTGTGTTTGCCATGGGTTCAAGGGAAGGCAGGCATTAGTTGAAAAGTGCGAACCAGATGTTCACAGACAGTGTCACCCATCCACTAGCCTGGTCATCTACCCATCCATCTGCTCGTTGATTCATTCATCACATATTCATCCACTTGACCTATAAAATACTCTTCTATCTGCCTATGAATATTTCTGTCCATCCAACTACGGAGCACATGTATGCATCCGTTCATACTATTTGCTTATCTTCCACCATCCAAGCATCCATCTTCTACAGCTATCCAT